AAAAAAAAAAAACGACAATGGCGGTGTTTAAAAGACAGTGCGCATAGGGAAATCTTAGGAATATAAAGTTCTAAGAGAGAGAGAGAGAGAGAGTTGAAGATAAAGAGGAAGAGAGAAAAGGAAATAAAGTAAAAGAAAGGATGACTATGTTCCATGTAATGATAAAGGAAAGATATTACTTTGTCATGAAGAATGGGGTTGTAAAATGTTCCGTCTGTCCACTGTAGCAAGGATCAAGCATGCTTTTTAGCTTCTTTATCTTTTTCCAAAGCCGTTTAGGCTCAGAATATAAAGCAGCCTGACGAGGCAAATGACATGTGCACATGCATGTACAAACCATGAATATGCCCCGTCTATAATCTAAAAAGAGTTGCAGATAGCATTGCCACTATCCATCTGGAAAAAAGTGAAGCACACTGTGATGTGTTCCATCTGGTTCCAAGTCGAAAGCAAACTACAGTCACTAAGAAAAGATGGTGCTTAATGGTATAATCCTGCATATTCCCATTATTCCAATTCCAATCATGTTTACCAAGTTACTCTGTTGTGAGCTTGAGGCAGCTGCCAATTGATTCAAGGTTTTGGATTTGATTAAACCAGCACAACATGTTTTTCTACTTACTGACTAAGAAAGAAAAAGTAAACGAGAACAGTCGAATGCATTTTCAATGAGTAGCTTGAATTAATGAGAATTGAACTTGGCAACAGTTAATCTAATCCCAAATGGGCAATTAAAGATTTGAACTTGGTTGGACAATCTAAAAGAGAAAATCATGGTCAATTTGGCTTAGCTCAGAAAAAGCCTCACGAATTAATTAATGTAGATAAAAAGAGAAGGGAAAGGGGAAGGCAAAGGCAAAGGAGCAAAAGGTTTGCTGTATTTTGCAGGCTCCAAGTGCTATTCCTGCTTCAGATAAGATCTCATACAAATATGATGTCAGAAGTCAATCAATGTCTGCAAACTTCATTGAGATTCTTGGGCTGCAGAGCTTCTTGCCAGCCGAGGGTGTTGAAGAAAAGACCCAACATTTATTAAACAAAACAAATTGGGGAGCACCACATTCTGCAAACTAAAAAATTGTATGTACAATTGGAAAATGGATTAGCTCTCCTGTCAGCAGCTAGCAATGGCAAGGCCATTACTGGCACCGAGTGATGTTTTGGGCTACAGTTCCTTTCGACCCATGTCATTGGTGCCACTTACTAGTCTCTTTTTTGAGATATTCTAACATATGTGAAGGAGGGGGGACAACCCATGTGGAAAAATCTATTGTGCTTCTCTTATTTCAAACCTATACAATCAAAAGCACCTTCTCTGACTAGATCTCAGCCGAAAGCAAACAAGAGGGAGAAAGAAAAACTTTCACCTGTCATGCCCATGATAAGGTCTGAAGATTTATGCATCATCTATAAATATGTGATTCTGATAAAAACAGCAGCTAACATGGTTTAATGTTCTCTTACTTTCTAAAACCCTGTAATGTTCTTGTTTCAATCAGCAGTGCAAAATTGGACTTTGTAAATTCACCCATGTCATGTGCATATATGTCGACAACTTTTGGAACATATCATCCGAATTCCTGGTCAGAAGATAGAAAGCAATTTGTTGGTCATACCCCACCGGATGGCTCGTGGCTCGGGGACTACAATTTTCAAATGATAAATTAAAAAGAAGACAGAATTATAGTTTGGGGCGAAAGAGAAAGAAAAGTTCAGAATATCCTAGTAGAGTGTGTGGTCTTGGAAAAAAGATGTACAACCCCTTCATGTGAATGTGACAACCAGCATAGGAAGTTCGGTATTCAGTTCCAAGACACATTCAAAACTTCATTAAGTTCCAATTTCCCATACTACTATAAAAACATTCTGATTCATATTCACCCAAAGGTTTTGTCTTATCTTCATTCACAACCATTGTTAGCAGATTATCTCCCAATCTCATGCTAAACTGTACAAGGGAGAAAGCATTTTCCTTTTTTTTAACTTCCAATTCTGACAAACACCACTTTCCCATCAGTTAGTGTACTACTTACTATTCACAAGGTTTCGTTTGGTCCACTAGTAAATCCCCAAAGAAAGGGTCAAATATTGCTTCTCGAGCTGAATTACATTTGTCCAAACGCTTCTTCAAAGACCTCAACTCTCTCTCATTCGTTGAAGAACGTACCTGACACACCATTAATTACAGTAAATACAAAACTATAATGACTACTTTCCTAATTTATGGGAAGAAAACCACTTACAAATGTTTTCTTCAGCAGCAGTATATCCACCAAGTACAACAACCATAACACATTTGTTCTGGGAAAACTGCACAAGGACAAAAATGAAGTAACAGGATGAGAATAATGTGATTTACTGAAAAGGAGGACCAAAGCCTTGAAAAGTCCAATGCCCTCCTGGGATATGCCCAAGAGAAACAGAGAAAAAATAAAGAACTCGAAATGCCTCAAATGAGTTTTCCTTTCATCACCTCCTTTCTTTAATGTATGGTATAGGGTATTCATGAACAGCTTTATGGATCTCATTCTTACCAAGAAATTCTACTAGAACAACCATACAACCGAAACTTGATTTTACAGGTTGACTTGCTTTACTTGGGAACAAAATCACTTCTATTTTCACCCTAGGCACATAATAACTAGTCCAAATAACTAGCCTAAAAGCTACACATAACAACAGATTGAGAACTATTATTAATGACTGGGACACCAAGAAAAAGAGTAAGGGTTTAATGAAAAAGATAATGATTTAACGAAAATTGTCAAGCTGCTGTTAAATCCAGCTCATTCATGACAGTGTTCACTTTGTTCAGTTAAACTAATGTAGGAATAGTAAGACAGTGCCGACAGCCAAGTGCTTGAATGGATGAAACAACAGAAGAGACCTATGTTGAGACGTGAAGAGGTAGAAAAATACCTTCCTTCCCAGTAATCTTCTGTAACCTCCTTCATTTTCCGATATGTTTCGGACTGCATATGATAATTCATTAGTACATGGATTTTGCTAGATTAGATGTGCATTGTATGTAACTATGAATGGAAATTCACAGCTTGTTTCAGTTTCTTACTTGTTTATCTCCTTTTGGACCTTTGAAAAGATAGGGGTCCGTTGACAGATCCATAAAGAGTATGCTTTCTCCTGAATACAAAAGCCATTAGAAAATTTTTATCTAATAAAGCCTCCAATGTAAAAAAATGTCTTTTAAAACCAAAACAACAAAGGAAAGGAAACTTTCACCAGTGTTTATTCTCGACAGTGTAAAATCAATTATTGATATCGATAACCCAAATGTCCTAATGAACATTTGCTTGCCCTCAAGAATAAACTTTGAGGTAACAGAGTCGTTTCGGCTCAAAAGTATGTTTCCCCTGTAACAAAAAATTTATCCATCAGTCAACTACAGTCAAAGACATAATATTACCATAAAAAATGTGACAGCAAGTAGACCAGTGCATGTCACGGTGTTCAAACTCATATGCAGCTTCAGCCACAGCCAGGGCAGCTGTAACCTGCAATGCACAATGAGTAAGTCAACTTTAAGCCAGTAACAACAGATAAAAAGATCCATGAATCAAAACTTGATTTTTTTCTCTAGAAAATTACTTTTCAAAAGAAGTTTATTTGTTTAATAATTTTGCATCGCAAGAAAAGTCTTTGATCTACCTGAACCAATAAACTTCGTGCTTCATCAAAGTTCTTGAGTACAAAGCTTTCAAGATCTTTACCCCCATGTTGTAGAACAAACACGACATAGCACTGAATGCAAATTCATCAGGTACAGTACAAAAATATTAGTAGAGGACAATTTAACTTGTAAGGTTTGCATTGTCCTATACGTGCATGTAAAATGGAGTATTAAGTTTTTCTCAAGTGTTTGTTAATAACTTTTGTGCATATATATTCATCAGCAACATGGAAAAGAAGATACCTGTTTCTCAGGAAACTCTTTGGGGTGATCATTTTGTGAGTCATTCTTTTCATCCCATTTTTCCCAAGCTCTAATCAATGCTGCATCATAAGAACCTTGGCAAACCTTTAAACTGCCAAAGATAGAGATCAATAAGAAATGATAGACAGATGAATAAATTATTTTCAAAAAAAAAAAGACAGATGAATAAATTGACACTGACATGCAAGTTTTATGCCCTGCATGATATTGGTGGATGATGTATTTGACCATGGCAAGTTTGTCTACTTTGTGCCAATATTTTAGTTTCAAGCATTGACTATTGAGCTTGACCAATTGAAAGCATAAAATCATTCATGCATTATTAGGTTCATATTTCATGCATTATGGCTTTCTCTTGAACATGACCCGAATAAGCCAACTAAGAATAAAAAACTGCTTCTGATTGAAGTGTTTGGTTATCAGAATATTAGAGAAAAACATGATGTGGAATACATACTCAATTGTTTCTATAAAGGTCGTGCAAGCATTAAAAACACCATTCTCAAATTCTCGTAAACTATTAAGAGTTTGTGAAAGTACAGCCTCCTCAAGCAATTCTTCTGATTTCTGAAGCACAGGAAAGGATATTGATTAGTGATAAAGATAAGCAAGTCAAGAATTTAATCCAAAACAAGTACACATGGAAAGGTAATTAAACTTGCAAACAACATGCAGAAAAAATAACTTCATTAGCCCAAATACCTTTTGTACTTCTCCATTTACTGGAAAATCTCCATCAAATGGAACTATTTTGCAGACGGTATTGCCTGCTCTGAAGGCTTCTCCATAAGTACCTTCGCCAACTTTAGTAATACTTTCTGGATCACTGAGTCAAGAAGGTTTAACCATAATCAATTCAAACAGGAAGCATGATCGATTAAATTTTGTGCAAAGAGGAAGTAGAAGAAAAAAACTGCAATGAGCTAAAACAGTATTGACACTAAGGCCACAAGGAACTGCAATCATGAGATAGCTGGACCACAGGATGAGTGAAACATTTAACATATAAGCGTGCTTTTCTGATATCTGAAAACAAGATAGCACATCTACTAAAATGTACGCTTATATGATAATATAGCGTTATCAGTGGCATATACATGGAGGCAATTTTTGTGGTCGACTTGCATGCTAAAAGGGGTGGCTAAAGCCGGAGGCTTGTGCATTGTGGGATTTGAGTAGGGTCAGATTACACAACCAAACCATTTCAACGAGTGCTAAACGACAGAAATAAAAGTGCAGTTTGGTTCTACTGGAAAAGGAAAAAATTAATTGGATTGAGACTAACCAATATTTGGAGAATAATTCAAAAAACCTTAGAGGTGCTAACTGCTGACAAATTTCAAGTAAAGCAGAAAATGGATCAACGCCATCAAGATCTGATGACGTTGCCAAGGAAAGCTTCTTAATGGCAGCATTTATATATTCACAGCCTCCATCAACAGAACTTGCAGATATTTGAATGCTCTTTTCTGGAGTTCTTAACCTTGAAGAATCCAAATCATCACTATAGATGGAATCCAAGGGAGCAGCTGGAGTTTCTAATATTTTAGACAAGGTACTAGAAGGCCCGCAGCTGAAGTTTAACTTCTTTGAAAAGAGCCACTTCTCTAATCTTGACGAAACGAGCGGAACAGGATCAGTGACACTTTGATTGCCCAGGGCCCAGGTCCCAAAGTTCTTTGGGGACGGGCTCTCCTCCAATAACTCAAAGGCATCAACCTCTTGAAAGTATTCTTTCTCCTTCTCGAAGCTTGGAGGTTCAGCAAGCTTTCCCTGTAAACAACAAGAATGTTTCGCTTCTGTTAAAGAAATGACCTTATAAGGACAAAGTAACCGATGCACCTATCTCAAGACACTTAACAGGTTTTAGACCAAAATTTGGACAAAAGTAGTTGTGTAACAACATAACAAATCAAGGAAGGAAGTTGAGATGGTATGTGGCATCAAAGTTAGAGAAACACTATGCACAAATGAGGTGCGAGAAAGGAAATAGGAAAGAGTATCGGTGTCAATGTCATACTTTAGGAACAGGTGGTTTTCCCTTCTTCTTGGCCTGTTTTTGTTGTGGTTGATTCTTCACACAAGGAGCAACAGCAATGCTCGTTCTCCCTCTAAAATGACGCAGCAAAACCAGTTACAAAGGAATAATAAGAACTAAGCTAAAAAGGAAACCTTTTATGCAATCCAACGGCAAAGGCAATGACAATTAGGCAATTTGGAACACGGTCAGCCACTTAGTTAGTCATGAGTGACAATGTTTTATCCTTGTGATGCAATTCCATGTACATTGAAATCAGAGTTCCAGCCTTCACAAGAAAAGATTCCATTTTTCGTCATGCTGTTCTTGTTCATCATAATGGGTGTTTGAATTTGCAGGTAAATTTGATGGAAGGCTCGGAAAAAGAACGGTTGATCAATTGAAGCAATCAAAAGGGGGAAAAGAAAAAGAAAGAACCTGGTGGAAAGCGAGCGATTCCAACTGACCCGCTTGTTAGCAGCAGCCAAACTCAGCCGATTGCGGTTATTGGGTGCGACCTCCTCCACCCTGCTCCGTGGAACAACAGCGTGACCCCGTTTCATTTTAGTAGAAGAAATGCGACACGAAAAGAAGAAAAGAAAAACGAAACATACAAGAGAGTTTCTTGAGGGGTGGTGAGACTGTGAGAGCTAGGCCGCCTTCTCTGATAGATGACTTGGACTCTCTTTCTCGACTGATGTTCCTCCGACTCCGATGCAATGATTTCCGACCAAAGGCCAACCTCCCCTGACGCTGTTCCATTTTCATTTCAGAAGACAGAAAATTAGTAGTAATACTAGTATCAGAATCAGAACCCAAAAATTACTACAAGTATCCATTTGCCAACCTGCTTTGCGATCCATATTAACTACTTGAGCGAGCAACAGTGATTCACTGAGACGGATTAGACAGAGAGACGGTGGTTCATTCAAGTTTGAATCTCCGTCGACGCGGGAATTGCTACTTCCTCGGGAATTTGGAGTTCTATACACATGGGCTATGCTCCAATCATCCTTCCCTTCCCTGGATTCATAGGCCCAACTTATTCAGCCCACATTTCCTCTTTATGTATGAGAATGAAATCTAAATATTTTATTTGTTTCATTTTTATAAAAATTAAGATAAAAATATTTTGATTTAAACTTTTTTATATCAAAATTTTTTTTAAAAGAAAAAACCCTAAATTAATTTGAAGCTTACCCTAAACCAACAACTTAACCACTCAATTTGATCAACTACCAATATTGGGCAAATATTTCCCAATCCCTAAAACCCAAAATCCCTCCTTCATCCTCACCTCTTAATCTCTTTGAGATAAAATTAAAATTTATCAAGACGATATCAAATTTATCGTTTATCTTTAAACGGGTATTCAATCTAGATAAAATATTAAGATATTTATTTATTAGGTATGTACATATGTCAACATCCATAACCTAATTAACAAAATGTGAATATTTTAATTGATTTTCAACATATGATCAAAATGACATATACTATACTTAAGATTAGGTTACTCTCACTTTGATTGAGACTTTACTAATTTCTGTTTCCAATGTTTTTGAGTTAATTTGGATTATTATTATTATAAAAATAAAAATAAAAAAGAAGACAACGTACTCTTTCAAATCAAGTCTTGTTAAGATTTCATTATCAAAATATCAAGGATTAATAGACAAACCAACCTACTTTTCTTCTGATTAGACCATTCCATTATCATTATTATTATTAATACTAATAATTCTCCTCGTGCATCGTTTCCATCAACAAAAAGCTAAATTGGCCCCTTTATTTCTTTGATCCCTAATCTTATATATATATATATATGCTACATTTAGTTAAAATAAATAACTTATCATAATTAAAATATTTGTTTGTTGAGTAATATTATTTTACGCTTATATCAAATTCTTTTTAGAATATATATATATATATATATACACTTGATATTAACTTTAGAACAAACAAAATATCGTATAATTTTCAATAATGTGCTATTTAAACAATATTATAGTACCTACTTGTTATTTGTAAATGATTCAGATTGAACAAGCATTGTGTTTCCTATTTAACTATGTTTGTGTCTTGCTCAATTTGTTAGGGGATTGTTGATTCTTGGGTAGAAAACGATCCTAATGAATGTGATAAACAATGGGTCCACTCCATATTCCGAGTTCAGCGCACAAGATTAGTACGAAATGAATATCAAAAGTGACGAGCATATGGCTAATAGCTAGCAAGTAGTAATGATTAGGATGCTCTAATCACAATTATCCACCGGGATATTAGGAATCAAATGCAAGGTGATTTTTCAACATGAATCGCCTCACGGGGGCTAATTGCTTAATCTAACCCAAAAAAAAAAAGGAAAGTAGGAATCCGCAGTGAATTAAGGAAATGGAAAATGATTTTAAGGATGGAAATATCAAAAATGGAGCTGCAGCCTATAGCTGTTTTCATGATTTCATCAGGTGTCACATGTTGTTAAGCCAGAATTTAGCAGCCAAGTCAAAGGGGCTATATCCTCTAGCCTACATATCATTTATGTAACAATAGTAATAATCAGCCATGAATACTTTGAAGGAAGCCAACTCACAAATCCCAAATGAGAGTAGTAAAAAGATATTGTGAGTTTGGAAGGAAACACAATAAAGGGGGTCAAGGCAAGTTGGTCCTTTGGATTGGGAAGAGGATTTAATAAGGAGAGATGCAGCCCCATCCTTGAAGGCTTCAACCCCACTGCCCCCAGCAACCCTTCTTAAGACCCCCAACCAAATTTTTCCATTTTTCACAGGACGATTTGTACTGATTTTGATCAACATATAATGTAACCACCTGCCTGTTAGATTCTCAGCCGGTGATGATGTTTCTTTATTTGTAGCCACTGGTTTCACTTCCGTCCTTTGCTTTCAAGTACAATTACCCTCCCCTCCCTTGTGACAACACCCTCATGGCATTTCATGTGAAACCACATGCCTTCCAATCTCATGTAAAATATCCATCCAAGTTTACAAGGAATTTCATCTAGACATGATTCTCCTTGACTGCTCATTTATTTCTCTTTGCAATTATAGATTCAATGTTTGTCCTTGTCCCCTAGTCTTTTTCTACTAGCAATCATAGAGAAAAGCAAAAGAAATCGAATTTAGCTTCGTATCAGAGTCAGACAGGGGGTAACAAACAAAATTAACAAAAGCAGACCAAGCCAAAAGCATGGAGGGGTCGCAAGGTCTAATTGAATAAAAGATTATCAGGTCCCATAAGCATGTCTGCTCTTTAACAATAGGGCATAGGATCCCTTCAGCACATAGGGGACATAACAGGAATCCACACCTATATTATAATCTGCATATTGTATTAGTCTAATTTCCAATTCAAGTCTCAAACTTTCTTCTAATACAAGGCAGTGGTTTGAATTTAACTTCTACAAAAAAAGAGTTTTTTTATTTCCGGGTTGGTTATGGTTTCTTTGTCTAATCGCACCAGCTGATAGGAAACTGCCATATAAATCTTCTGTAATTACCTTTGCATCCCTCTCTCCTGGACCATGGTACCTGCAGAACCAGAAGCAATGGTCCCCAACCCCCATACCCCCTCATGGATTTTGGTTTTTACTTTGATTTTAATATGAAACTAAGATCAGGGAAGGCAGGAAATATACCGCAGGGATGACAGCTTATATCTGGTACCAATATGCCAGCAACTAGAAATAGCATTTATGCTCTTTCATAATTTTCCTTACTGTTTTTCTACCTAATCATTGCATTTTTTAGCTGATTAATTACTTCTTGATTGTTCTTTCCATTGCTACATGAGCTTATTAAGTATCACAGAATGTTCATGAAGCCACCATGTTTCTTTCCAGTGTAAGGAAACAAATCCCCAGACTGCTTTTGAATTGCCTTAAACATGTTGGGATTCTTAATATCAGAGGGAATAAAGAATAATTCTTTGTGAAATTAATACATCCAAGCACAACTGATTTAATTGTAAAAAACTAGTGAAAATTAAGACAGCAAACTTGATATATTGTAAAAGGTAGTGCTACTGCTAGATGTACAACCATACAATTAAAGACTTGAGAAGATATTTGGTTGAAAATATGGTGGTTGCTGCTACTGGCACCACATGCCGTGCATTCCGGCTCATGCCGTGTGGACCTCCACCCTTCATCCTCTCCCTACATTTTGCAACAGCGTTGCAACCCCCCGTTTCCCGCTGCCTAAACTCGGTCTTTCCTACATGCACTTTAGGTTTCTCTCATTTTGATGATCCTTCATTGCCACATTCTCCAGCTACTTCATGTGCTGGCTCATCCGTTGCTAATGCGAGCATAATTGCATGCACATCATCATGTTTTCTTCCCACGTTCCAACCGGAAAGGACAATCTTGGGTATGACTTACCGTTGGCATTTGACACAAGTGTGCGACCATTGATCAGTTATGATTTCTGCTATGAGTGCATGACCCTGTTTTACTACATGTCCCGTAGCCATGTTCTGCTTTGAGTTCTGTCAAGGTGAGCCCGGCTGGTTGCTGCACTGCAACATTGGGTATCAGCCCTTGAATTTGATGCAGGGTTCAATCTATCAAAATCAATTTAACCAAAGACTCAACCTCAGCTTTTTATTCATCTTGCTTTGATGCTGAGAAATTGAATTTTGAGCTGTAAAAGAGATTGCTGTCTGTGTTACTACTAATCAAGCAAGCCAAAGTGCAAATGGAACAATGTACAAGCTAAAGATTGTGATTGGTACATTGAAACTATCTTGATTAATGGGGTTAGAAAGCAGTATCAATTTGATGGAAAAGACCCAAAGCAATCAACTCAAGCGTCGATCGTGTGTTAAACTGTTTATTTTGCCCGATCAAGTTGTTGAGAATCGGAAATGGGCCAAATACTAAAGCTAATTAAAGTGCAAAAACTGATCACTACATTGATAGTTAGATCTGCCCTGTATTTGATGTGATCTACCAATACAACATCAGATTTGGGAGATAACAAAATTTTTGTTGCATGCATCCATTCACTGTTTAGTGCATTTCCAAATTATAGATATATTTCTATACGTAAAATTTACAATGAGATCAATAAAAAAGAAAAAGAGTCGAAGAGTAGAATATAATATCTCGAACAATTTATAGAGTAATATGACAACATTCTTTGATAAAACTATCCTAATAATTAAGAGATCATCAACCCTGATGGTTGCAAAATGAAATTACAGCAGTGCTAGTATAACTTAATATTTGTAGACATGTTTGAAGATGGAAACCGATGGGTGAGAATTCTAGTAAGTAACAACCTTTCCTATTCAATTTGACCAGCACTGAACTCTATATATCACATTAATTGCTCATTACCCATCATAATTATCCTTTTCTTTTTCCCATACTATATCTTAATTGAGATGTTTGACTAACCACCCTGGAGTAAAATAAATAAATAAATAAAACCACAAGTAGACTAGAGTTACAACTGTTAAGTAACATCCTAGATTTTAGTTGGAATTAGGGTGATTCAGGACACACAAGTTTTGAGGGAAGAATTGAGTGAAGAGGAAAAGAGTAAATTACTGATAAAGAGTCATGTTCAAAGCAAAGACTAAAGTGAGGAAGAGGGTGTTAGACAATTGTTTTGGAAGATGCATGCTTGTGTTTTACTGTATGTATGAGTAAACATGTAATGTGGTGTAAGGCATCTAAACTCATCACCTACCACTGATAACTCCATCCCTTCTTCTCTTCTCTTATTATTCTTCCCCACCTCTCGCCCCATTCACCATTCCATGCCCATCCACTTCTCTCAGTTTCAGGCCTTTCCTTGTCATTTCTGGCTTTGCTTTTGCCTTTGCCTTTACAAGGAGCCTCATTTCTGGTACTAGATAGCTCCATTCCAGCTTAGATTCACCTCCACATTTCCCTAGGAAACAAATAATCTCTTTTTAGCATTTAACTGCCTTTATTTTTTTTTTCTTTGGATAAGTGGGTGCATTTGCAGTTTCGTCAATTGGCTGCTGTTGTTTCTGGGAAGTGGCCACATTTTTGGGCTTCCTTATTTGGCTGCTTTCATTCTTGTTAATCGGAGATCTGGGCTTGTTTATTTGGTTTGTTTCTTGTATGAGGAGTGGGTGTGCCGAATTCAAAGATCTGAACTTTACACGCTGGAAGGTAAAGATACAGCATTCGTTTAATTGGCTTTTTTCCTGTATCAAAATTTTTACTTTTATGCAGCGCAGAAAATCGTTTCTCTGTAGCGGGGACCTAAATTGTTCTATCATTTTGTCTGATCCGTTTCTTTGGTAAAATAAAAGTTCTGTTTTTCCATAGCTTGATGCTTCTGCTCCTTGGTTGCTTGTGTGGAAATGCTGAATGCCAAGTAAAAGATAAGATTTGGAAAGGATTTTGTAATACAGTCTCATGGATGATGGAGCAATAAGTACCTTATTTTTAGTTTTTGTTTATGTATTAATCAAATTTCGTTCCTTATGTCTTGTGTCAATCATGTAGGTTCTGAATATCTGAAAGTAAATAAGGAAAAACAGACATGGCAACTGATCTCAACGCAGAATTATCCCAGAAGACTGCCATTTTTGGTCTTAAGGTCTGGGAAGTTATCGGGATTGTTGTTGCATTATTTATCATAGTCATCCTTTCTCTGTTGTCGTTTTGTTTAACTTCCCGGAAGAAATCCAGAGCTAGAAATAAGATTCCCCTTACCCAAATCCCATCTGTTTCCAAGGAAATTAAGGAAGTCAGGGTGGAGCAAGTATCAACCAATGAATTTGTTCCTCGTGATGGTATTCTTCTCACCATTCATGACAAATCCAGTGACAAAGAGTCAGATAAGGTTCTGGTTCATCTGGGGATGGGAAAATCCAAGAATGGAGACAATAGTAGTCAGTCAGGTTCATTTCACCATTTGGATAAAGATGGTGTAGGGTCTCAATCAGGAGAAGAAGGGAGTTCTGGCACAGTAACTGTTTATAAACCCTCTTCTTCATATCCCATTACTGCTCCTTCTCCTCTAGTTGGCCTGCCTGAATTCTCTCACTTGGGCTGGGGTCACTGGTTTACGTTGAGGGATCTTGAACTTGCCACTAACCGGTTTTCAAAGGATAATGTTCTTGGAGAGGGTGGATATGGCGTTGTTTATCAGGGCCATTTAATCAATGGGACGCCAGTGGCAGTTAAGAAGATCCTCAACAATGTGTGAGTATATATGTGTAAACTTTAAAAATGGTGTTATTTTCTTGTCCTTGTTTAGCTGAACTTCTTATCATCTTCTCTGTAGGGGCCAAGCAGAGAAAGAATTTAGAGTAGAAGTAGAAGCCATTGGGCATGTACGCCACAAGAATTTGGTTCGTCTTTTGGGTTACTGCATTGAAGGAACACACAGGTGTAGTCTTCTTTAACTTTGTTTTTTTATGGTTTAAAATTTGAACAGTTACCTAGATAATGGGTTATCCTTAGCAGTAATAAAATTAAGAGATCATGGAAAAGCAGTTTGGGGCTTAAATATTTTAGTAGCAATGTCGATACTGCTATCTAGATATTGGTTAAGTTTCTGGCTTGCGGGTTTTAACAAAAGGCATATGGTTTAAAATTGCAGGATGTTGGTTTATGAATATGTCAACAATGGAAACTTGGAACAATGGCTTCATGGAGCTATGCGTCAGCATGGATATCTTACCTGGGAGGCTCGCATAAAGATTCTCCTTGGCACAGCTAAGGCGTAAGTCAATATATTTATATACATTTTTATCAGTCCAGTTCTCATTGGCATGATGATTCTTCTTGCAGTCTTGCCTACTTGCATGAGGCCATTGAACCAAAGGTGGTGCACCGAGACATAAAGTCCAGCAATATATTGATTGATGATGACTTCAATGCCAAGGTTTCTGATTTTGGTCTGGCCAAGCTGCTGGGTGCTGGGAAAAGTCATGTCACAACCCGAGTTATGGGAACATTTGGGTATGTATATTCTCTAGTGCGTGTGATTTTCATATATTTAGTACTTTTAGTCTCTCTCTCTCTCTCTCTGTGTTCCTTTATCTGATTGTTATCTTCTCCTAAAATCACACAGATATGTGGCTCCAGAATACGCAAATACTGGCCTTTTGAATGAAAAGAGTGATGTCTACAGCTTTGGGGTTGTACTATTGGAAGCAATTACTGGTAGAGATCCTGTAGATTATGGTCGTCCTTCCCATGAGGTACACAGTAATCATTAATAAGATCTTTACTAAGCTGCTGCAAACTCAAAGGCTAGTTAAGTTTAATGCTTTTGTTACTAAACCATAGAAATCTGTCTGTTGATTTAGGTCTCCTTACTATATATTAGGAGTACAGCTTGTTCCCGGCCCACCATGGCCTACTACTGGAATTAAGTTAAGGATTGCTTTTCTTCTGTTAAAAGGCATGCCATCCTGTGTTCTGAATTGATGAATTAGTTAACTGACTGTGGTTGTTTCTGTCTCTTTAATATGGTGGACCCAAATACATAACTAAGTAAAATTTTAATATTTATGGTGCTAAGAGAATGGTACCTGAAAATTAAATAGCTAAGGCTGTACAACTGGCAATTAGCAGTTGAGCGCTTCTATGCCCTTGTGTCTGGGGAGGTATTTCTACACTGTCCTGAATTATAATCTTCATTGTAAAGAACTAAATTTTCAGAATTCAAAATTATTAGAGCACCAAGGCATCCCCCTAACATGAATATATAAAAGTTAACAGCATTCTGCACCTACACTGTGGTAAAGCTCTTAACATTTCAACTTGGTGGTCATGGTCAGTCAAAGGTCTAATTCAAATTGATTTAGCTGCATTGAAATTGTTTTCTCCAACATAAATATTAGTGATGGATTTCTTGGTTTTTATATATAAAGATTTTTTAAAGCTTTATTAAACATGATATATCTTTATGTTTACAGGTAAATTTGGTAGATTGGCTGAAAATGATGGTGGGAAGCAGGAGGTCAGAGGAAGTGGTAGACCCAAATATTGAGGTCAGACCATCAACAAGAGCTCTAAAGCGTGCCCTTCTCACTGCTTTGAGATGTGTTGATCCGGATTCTGAAAAAAGACCCAAGATGGGCCAAGTGGTGCGAATGCTCGAGTCTGAGGAGTATCCCATACCAAGAGAGGTTAGTGTTAAATTCATTTCTCTAGCATGGTGGATTCAATTTGGACTAGTCACTAAAGAAAAGAAAAGAAATGAAGATAAAAGAAACTTGAACCATCTGACTTGACTGCTTCTTTAGGTTTTTTGTCTAATTGCTTACTTTTTGTGGCATTTTTCTGACTTTATGACATATAGCCAAGCATTTCTCAGTTGTATAGCCAAGAGTGTTACTTTCTGACTCACTTGGTACTATCTTAATGTGGCTTTACCTTTATCATGATAACATGATAAGTGTATCTATTTCTTCCCTCTCTCTATTTCTTACCTCTCATCTAGTGCTTTAATAATGAAATCCTCTCTAAGCTATTCTGCCAAAATTGTATTATCAGAAGCTGTGTCCTGTAATCAACTTCTGCCAAGGCATAGTATCTTTATGTTTGTCCCTTCTTTTCTTTGTTGTTTTAATCAGAAAGCTTTCTTTCCTACCAATATTAACATTTATATCACACTTTTGGATGCACTTAATCATGCTTATAAATACTGTGATATTCGTGAAGTGTATGCTGTTTCTTCTGAGTAGCTAATATATCTGCAGTTCTGTTTCGGTGAACTTCAAAGAAATGACTGGATAAAAATTTTGAAATTCAGGATCGAAGGCACCGTAGGAATCATGGAAGTAGCTTGGAAATAGATTCACAAAGGGATAATTCTGACACTGATCGTAGCGATTTTCCAGCTTCCAGATCAGAGAGCAAGCGGACGCAGTCTTAACATAAACTGCAAACAGGCTGAGGATGAACGGTGGAATTCTTAAAATTCTTTCAAACTGTTAAAATTTCTTGGGTTTGTCTCCATATTAGTTGTCAATAAGTAGGGCATGGTGGTAAAGAGTGGGGAAGGGGACAATGATCGCTTATTCTTTTGCTTTTTTTTTTGGCTTCTCCTTTTGTTTAAATTCTTCATATAATTTGTAGATGGAAGAGATGACTTGTTTGTGCATGGAAATTGGCGTTGTGAAGAACCGAAGATTACTAGGGGTGTGTACAGAATCGGGGAGCTCTTTTTTAAGTTTTAATATTGTTTTGATGAATTGCTCCCCACATTCCTTCTTGAAGAATGGAGGTGACAAGGTGGTCATGAACTTTTTTAGATTATCTTTCTTTCTGCTTTCCCCCTCTTCACTTCCACCCCATATATTTCTTCTAAAAAGAAGTTAGACTAATATGCAACACTCGACAGTCCATGCATTAATGTAAGCTGCATGGCCACATTGAGTTGTCGTTTTGGTTTTACTAGCAGGTATCATAAATTGGGGTTTGCTTCAAATTGGTGGATTTGAGTATGTAGCATGCCATGTTTGGGACTTGGGATGGTCGCATTTGCTTTGATGCAGTGAGGATTGATGTTCATGTTAACTTTTAGGTTTGGATCATTTTGAGCCAGGTCGAGATTGCATTTTGCTTTTGTTTGAGGTGGTGTGTTATCTCATCCGTATGGTAAACCTCTTTGTTAAGCTTTGGCGACAAAATAGTTGAGTAGTCTCCTCTCCCTCTGGTTTTTCAACCTGATCCGGGGGCCCATATCATTATAAAAGATGTTAACTGTGAAGTTCAGCAAAGTCGAAATAAATTAGAACGACATTCTGTTTCTGTAGGTTTGCTTTTATGGGTTGAAATCCAAACAAAATTACTTATATTCCTTGATCTGCATTCAGAATACCATTGTTTGGGGTAGCTATACACTCTAAACATGCAAGTTTAGAAGCTTAAACTGTCAACCTGAAAAATCTTGACTGAAAATGGTTGTGTTGTTGTCAGGGAACTCTGCTGGCTTCCAGGAAAATGTTGAAGCATTGTTCAAACCTAATAGTCAAATTTTCTTTGTAATTTGAATCCACTGATGTTTTCATTAGTTGTCATCAAGGTGCATATACATAGTTTAATGAATAACAAATAGCAGTCATTTTTGATCTGGTCAAGCCACACACCCAAACTTCCAACTGCCAACGAAATTATAATCAGCATTTTGAGCAACTGCAGCTGCAGTCCTCACCATGTCATTAATTAAACTGCCTTGCCAACCAAGTTTACTACTGCTAATTAGTTTTCCAAACGAACACAACTTGTTGTTTCCGAATCTCATAGTTACAAGTATCCAAGAAAAACTAATATTCTTGCCAGCCAAGTCATGTTTCTTACTTGACCGGCTTTGCTCATTTTTTAAGGTTTGCAACAGTGGCACGAAAGAGAGAAAGAGAGAGAGTACACAATTGTGATATGAGCAACCATATTTTGTCACGTAGACAATATTATTCTCTAATTTCAGACGACTTGAAGCCATTGCTTTTGCAATACTGCTGGCTTTTCTCAATCTTGGTATACCATGGTTTTGCAGTCAAATGAACAGAGGTTAAGCTCCATAGAACATTATTTATAGTAGGACCTGGAGCTACTGCAAATCTTTGCTTCAGAGTCTTGTCTTTTAGACTAATATCCATACTAAAAGAATATTCAATTGCTCTTGTGCTTCCATAACAGGAAAACGGTCAGATCAGATCAGGAAAAAGAACATGCTGGAATAGAGAAGCATAATGATGGACATGCCAACACCATCCACTTGGTCATGTCATGTGTGAACTGCATGATCGTATTCAGCTTGATCTTGATTGTTTAATACTAAACCAAAGTCAAAATTTAACAGAGTCAACTGCTGATCCAATGTAATTGAAGCAGCAAGAGCGTTGACAAAGAGTGCTTTGATTAACAAGTGAATTTCCCTCTATCTCTCTAGCTCATTTTGGTTTTCTTTCTTTTGTAGATGGATTTTGACCTCTCAAAAATTCCAAATTTGTGATCTCATTGAATATAGGTAATCTCCTACATATGCACCATTTTCAAAATTTCTTAGACATTAAGGAGAAGAATGATGAATTACCTTACTTCAGCAACCTTAGTAGTTTAACATATACAAGCAAAGGCTTGATTATCTATATATACAACTTGTTCCCAGTATATCATAAAAGGTCTACAGGTTTTTCATGTTATCCAACATGGCTCAGATGGTTGGTACAGATGAGATAGAATCACTGAGAATTGAGTTGTCAGAGGTAGGAAGAAGTCTGAGATCATCATTTCAGCTTCATGCCTCCAGTTTACGGTGCAGCTCAGCCCTGAGTTCAGGGAAAGATGATGCTGGTGTTGAATATGCTCTGCAGTGGGCTGCAATTGAGAGACTACCTACATTTGAACGGCTAAGATCATCTTTGTTTGATAAAGATAATGATGGAGATAACAATGGAGGGATGGTTAATGATGAAGGAAAACGTGTGATTGACGTCACCAAGCTTGGAGCTTTAGAACGGCATATATTCATGGAGAAACTCATCAAACACATAGAAAATGACAACCTTCGGTTGTTGCAGAAAATTAGAAATAGAATAGATGTGTAAGCCTTCTTCGCCCTTCCTTTAACCATGCATCTGAGTGTATTTGTGAGGCTTCATGCATTTGTATTTTATGCTCGTAGGTATGAATTGCCATTGGTTGGTTAACTGGATGGCTGGTTGGGGTGCATGTATTTGCTTATGCATGCTTTATCACTATGAATGTACAGACAGGTACACCTGAGAAACAAGGATCGATACATGTACACCCCACATGGATTAATCTCTTTCTTTCCTTCCTAGAATTTGATAGAATTGATTTTGTGTTATTTCTTCAATCCAAATTTCACTTAAGTTTTTCTTTTTTCAGTGCATAAGATGCAAAACAAGAAGCAGAGCAAGCCTGACAAATCATAATGGCTAAACCTTAGACATACATATGCATTTTCTCAGCGAGTCTGTTCATCAAGGCAGTGATAAATTTAATGTTGGATTAATTCTAAATTGGGTTTGGCAGGGTTGGTGTGAAGCTGCCCACTATAGAAGTAAGGTATAAGGATTTGCATGTGGAAGCTGAGTGTGAGGTTGTTCATGGAAAGCCCCTGCCAACTTTATGGACATCTTTTCAGCGCTTTTTCTCAGTGAGTAATTTCATTTTCCAAGACTAGTTTGAAAATTTGGCAATCAACCATGTGATTGGCTTTCGGAACAAATAGAGGCAGCTTTATTTTGCTTGTTGGTTAGATTAAATTAGCCTATTTACAACTTGAGCACATTTGGATAATCAAAGAGGACTTAAATATAAGTTAAAACGCTACTTACCTCAAAAGCCAAGCCTAGGTTGTCATATTGTCTGAATCATTGGAAAACAAATGAAATTAAAATGAACTTTGACAGAGCTGCTGATGACTAATGCTATATTTTCTGATCTTGTGCACATTTCTGGTTAACTGTAAGTAATATACGGAAGATCAGAAATCAGTCTTTCTACACAGTTACAATGTTCTGATGTTCCTAAATACGGCAACATGCTGTTTAGACTGATTAATTTGAAAAAGCTTCATTTTCCAGGATGTTGTGAGGCTCTCAGGTGCTAAGTCTCATGAAGCCAAGATAAGCATCATCAATCATGCCAGTGGCATCATAAGGCCTGGAAGGTACAGGAGAATCATTAGTTCAATAACTTGTAACTGCATTCCTTTTCATTCCTTTTCGTCATATGCCCGGAAGAAAAATACTTAGCACTTTTGAATGTATTTGTAGGATGACTCTACTGCTTGGTCCCCCTGGATGTGGGAAGACCACCCTTTTAAAAGCTCTGTCGGGAAATCTGGAGCAGTCTCTCAAGGTTTCATACTTCCTATAACTTGGTTTCAACGTTTTACTGAACTGTTAGATGTCTCTCTAGTATTATGACTGGCCTCAGTTCATCCTCTTTGGTTCCAATACATACTCCCTGGCTTCCCATAAATTATAGACTTTTCATTGCCGGAGAGCTGCTTTTAAAACTTAATGTGGACAGAGCAAAAAAGTGTGATATCTTGTTCAGATAGGATTCTCAGTCATGTTCAATTTATTCTGAAATGTCTTTCCACAACAAATGCTTGAGTTTTTGTCCTAATTAGTGTAGTCATTCTCAATTTCTTTTTGTTCTTTCTGAAATAGGTCACTGGAGAAGTCTCCTACAACGGTTACTGCCTAGAGAAGTTTGTTCCCCAGAAAACTTCCGCTTATATAAGCCAAAGTGATCTGCATATTGCTGAGATGACAGTGAGGGAAACTCTTGATTTTTCTGCCCGTTGTCAGAGTGTTGGAAGCAGAGCCGGTTAGATTTCTTTGATGTTGAACAAATTATATATAATCATGGACATCTTATTGATGCCTAAAGTGGTTAAAACTATAACATTATAATTCTGCCTTTGAAGATATTATGATGGAAGTCAGTAGGAGGGAGATGGAAGCGGGGATTTTACCGGATCCGGATACTGATACTTATATGAAGGTGACTTTACCATACTTGGTTGTTCTCTCTTTTGATTGCAGCCTGAGCTGTCAAAGATAAGGTTTATGTGAATGAATCAATGTAAAACATTGTGTAACTGTTCATGTCATTCTGTTCCAAGGTTATGTTCTTTATGCTCTTGCCAATGTTAAGATCTTGACATTTATTTATATGGTTTTTCTTCACAGGCAATATCTGTCAAAGGACTAAAAAGAACCATTCAAACAGATTACATTTTAAAGGTAATTTCTTCGACTGAAACGGATTCTATAAATTGAGAATGTTGAATCCGAAAACATTCTCAACTGTCTTGGTGGCTTTTCAGATCCTCGGACTTGATATTTGTGCTGACACGTTTGTTGGGGATGCCATGATCAGAGGTATCTCTGGAGGTCAGAAAAAGAGATTAACTACTGGTAGGTTGAAAGGTTGAAGTTGAACTGACTAGATGTATGATGCACACTCTAGCAGGGCGTTTTCACATAGCTGCATTAACTGAAATTTTAGCTGCAAAGGATTTATTGAGGTGTTTTCTGAACAACCAATTCTTCCAATTGAGTTATGCAGGGGAGATGATTGTAGGTCCAACAAAAGCCTTGTTTATGGATGAGGTAACAAATGGTCTTGACAGTTCTACAGCATTTCAGATTGTTACCTCTCTTCAGCAGCTAGCACATATCACAGATGCAAGTTTACTGGTTTCTCTTCTTCAGCCAGCTCCAGAAACCTTTGATCTCTTTGATGACATTATTTTGATGGCTGAGGGGAAGATAGTGTATCATGGTCCATGTGATAATATCCTAGAATTTTTCGAGGATTGTGGGTTTAGGTGTCCTGAAAGAAAAGGGGTCGCGGACTTCATCCAGGAAGTAAGCGCCTGCTGTTTCTAGCTATTGCCTTCTCATGCTCTAGTTTCATCAGGTTTAAGTACTTTATTAATTTGATTATTGATTTTGCAGGTCATATCAAAAAAGGATCAAGCACAGTACTGGCACAGCACTGAATTACCATATAGTTATTTTTCAGTGGATATGTTTGCTAGAAAATTCAAAGAATCCAGTCTCGGAAAGAAGCTTGATGAGGACCTCTCGGTGCCATATGATAAATCACATAGCCACAAGAATGCCCTGTCCTTTACCCAATATTCCCTTTCTAAATGGGAATTGTTTATGGCTTGCATGTCCAGGGAACTTCTTCTCATGAAGAGAAATTCTTTTGTTTATGTTTTCAAAACAAGTCAGGTTATACTTCGTACTTCAGCATTCTTCCATAGTTCTCCCTCACTTCTCCCATTTTCCTCAGATGGAATGATGTTTTGCACTATTCCTGCCAATGTTATAGCATTAAAATATGATGTATGAGGCCTTGAAATTTTTGAAACATGTTAAGATCTTTCTGTCTGCAGCTTATCATTGTTGCAATAATCACAATGACTGCATTTTTGAGGACTCGGATGCACATTGATGTCCTTCATGGGAACTACTACATGGGAGCCCTTTTCTTTGCTCTTGTTATACTTCTTGTTGATGGGATTCCAGAGATATCTATGACTGTTGCAAGACTTGAAGTTTTCTACAAGCAGAAAAAGTTGCGTTTCTATCCAGCATGGGCTTATGCAATTCCAGCCAGTATTCTAAAGATTCCTCTTTCTTTACTGGAATCTCTTGTTTGGACATGTCTTACTTATTATGTCATTGGATACAGTCCTGAAGCTTGGAGGTGAGTTTGGCACGATAGAAATGATTGCTTATTTAATTTTAATGTGCCTTTTGTGCTCAACAGTTGCCATTTCAGAGTTCTTCTGCAAAATTTTTATCAGCTAAAATTTACAAACCTTTAGTCTGCAATGAAATTTCTTCCTAGATTGACATTTGAAAATGTGCTGCGTCTTTAGGTTCTTCCGCCATTTCCTCCTCCTTTTTGCTGTGCACTTAGCATCAATATCTATGTTTCGGTTCCTGGCTGCAGTCTTCCAGACTGCAGTTGCTGCCATGACAGCTGGTAGTTTTGCAATATTATTCGTCTTTCTATTTGGGGGCTTTGTTATCACACGACGTAAAGTTTCCTGGCTCTTCTCTATTTCGATTTTAGAATGTATCAACCAAACGATAACCTCTAACAATGTTATTTGCTGCAGCCTCCATGCCAGTCTGGTTGAGGTGGGCCTTTTGGGTTTCCCCTTTAACGTATGGGGAGATTGGCCTTTCTGTCAATGAATTTCTGGCTCCTCGATGGCAAAGGGTGAGTCATTTCCACCTTATTGATTCCTGTAAATCATCCTACCTTTTCTGTCTCATCAAACTGTGATCACAACTTCATCAGAGTGCATGATTTTGATTTTGCCATCAAGATTTATGTATCCAGATGGGCAGTTAACAGTGAAAGAACGTATGTTGCACTCTGAAGATGCATTTTTTGTCCCTCTCCTCTTGGTGTTGCCATGCCATGAGCATGAGCATGAGCATGACCATGACCATGTTAAATTTACATTATCTGGTGTGGAAAAGCATATTGATGCTTGGTCTAATTTCTATGCTTGCTAGATATCATCAAACAGTACAATAGGGCGAGAATTACTAGCAAGCCGTGGATTAAACTTTGATGGATACCTTTTCTGGATATCACTTGTTGCCTTACTTGGGTTCACCTTAGTTTTCAACATTGGCTTTACCTTGGCCTTAAGTTTCTTGAAGTGTAAGTACATCTTGTTTTTCTACTTGTAATCAACTTGAGAATGACTGGATGTATAACGTGCTTGTTCACCTAACTAAATGCATATTCAGCTCCTGGATCTTCTCGTGCCATTATTTCACATGAAAAACTTTCTCGAATACAAGGAAGAGAAGATTCCTCCAGTGGTGCACTTGGGAAAGAAAAGTCCACAAACTCTCCTGCTAATAACATCAAAGAGCCTAGCAAAGGTTGGCTTGTTATCATTGATTTCATTTTGTTCTTCACTTTGGCATGCTTCCGAAATTCTCTTGCTGTTAACATCTTAATTTTTGCCTTTCTGTTTCATCTGTTTCTTATTGTTCCCTTATCTTGATTAACAGGCAGGATGGTCTTACCTTTTGAGCCCTTAACAGTAGCATTTCAGGACTTGCAGTATCACATTGACACCCCTTTGGTAAATACATTTACCATTTCGATCATTCACACAATTGGCTTATTGAGAATATTTGGAGCATCAGTTTGCAGGACACTTATCTCTGCTTAGTTCTTATTAATTCCTTTTCATCTAGGAAATGAGAGAACGGGGATTTTCTCAGAAAAACCTCCAGCTTCTTTCAGATATTACTGGTGTTCTCAGGCCTGGTATTCTTACAGCATTGATGGGTGTCAGTGGAGCTGGAAAAACAACTCTTCTGGATGTACTTGCTGGAAGAAAAACTACCGGATACACTGAAGGGGAAATAAAAATTGGAGGCTATCTGAAGGTTCAAGAGACTTTTGCTAGGATTTCAGGCTACTGTGAGCAAAGCGATATACATTCCCCTCAAATCACAGTAGAAGAATCTGTGATGTTTTCTGCTTGGTTGCGTTTGGCTCCTCAAATTGATTCAAAAACTAAAGCAGTAAGTGTTATACTCCATCCACATGGAATATGATTTGGTAGGAGCTGTAAGTACCAAAGTCAACTTTAGCTTGAGCTTTTAAAATTTAAGTGATTTAAATTTGAAAAGTTATTGGATCAATATTTAAAATTGATCGTTAAAAATGGTATTAGGAAGGATCTAATTTAAGTCAATCATTACTAGCAATTTGAGTTTTTGAGAGCTTAAAATTACTAGGCTAACGTTTTGACTTGAGTCTTTACATTAAGGATTGAACTTGAGTCCTTTTAGTAAATAGTGGGTGGGATTATAATGCCTCATTTCATTTTGACTGATGTAGTTATAGTAAAGAGTGAGGTTGGAATTGAAATATCCCATCTCACATCAGATATGAATATAATTGTTAAAACTTGTACAACGGTCAATTACTACGGATAATATGAGCTTTGAGTTTTAAGATTAATATGATTTTGGTTTGAAAAGTTGAAAAATTGTTAGGCTAGTGCTTGGACTCGGTACTTAAGATTTTAAAGATGTTATGTTTCACCATTCAATTCTAGATCTTCTTGGTAGGCTATTTGTAACGAAACTGCTGTTACATGCCTCAATAGGAATTTGTGAATCAAGTCCTTGAGACCATTGAGCTTGATGAAATTAAGGATGCTCTAGTTGGAATACCTGGGGTTAGTGGGCTGTCAACTGAGCAACGCAAGCGGCTCACGATAGCTGTGGAGCTTGTTGCAAACCCCTCAGTAATCTTCATGGATGAACCTACAACCGGCTTGGATGCACGAGCAGCAGCAATTGTCATGCGAGCAGTAAAGAATGTAGCTGATACAGGGAGAACAATTGTCTGCACAATTCACCAGCCAAGTATTGATATATTTGAAGCATTTGATGAGGTAAAACATGTTTTTACTTACTCTTGAGCATAGAAATTAGAAACGAAGGCAACTGAGGATCTGAATCCATCCGTATATTCACCCCTTTTTTGGGTGTTGTAGTTGATCCTTTTGAAAAGCGGTGGGCGCATGATCTACTCCGGACCACTAGGGAAGCATTCAAGTACGGTTATAGATTATTTTGAGGTTAGTTTGTCTTTGGAAATACCGATACCTATGATATGTTTCATCCTCCTCTTTTGTTTGTGATGTGCTACTTTTGTGTCTTGGATATATATGTTTTAGTACTTAACAGCTATCACTGACAGGCCATCTCTGGCGTACCAAAGATTCGAAAAAATTACAATCCAGCAACTTGGATGTTAGAGGTCACTTCTGCATCTGCAGAAGCTGAGAAGGGTTTAGATTTTGCCCAAATATACAAGGATTCTGCTTTGTACGAGTGAGTTACATTTCGATAATTGTACTATTTCTGGTGATTTGTCAAGTTGGACATTGCAGAACCAACATTTCTATGAAGTATCTCTCAATTTCAGAATCAGGCTTTTGTCCTGCAACTTAAATTGGATAGTTGGAATCTTCTTAACTGGAATTAAGGCGTAAAAGGGCTTGGATTTTCCCCTCCTTCCCTCTTTTATCCTATGGCTGATTACATGATTCAATGTTATTGCAATCTAGTAGTCTATACTAGGAAAGCGTATAAACAAAAGTTCATGGCATTCTATTGGCATGCAGGAGCAACAGAGAGCTTGTGAGGCAGTTCAGTACTCCACCTCCTGGTTCCAGAGATCTGCATTTCCCAACTCTCTTCTCACGAAATGCTTGGGGACAATTCAAATCCTGCCTATGGAAACAGCATTTGTCTTATTGGAGAAGCCCTTCATACAACTTGACCCGTATTATTCATACTTTAGTAGCTTCCTTGCTTTTTGGTATTCTGTTCTGGAAGCAAGGACAGAAAATGTGAGTACATAGGATTCATTTGGCAACAAAAAAGAAATATTAATCAGAAAAGAAATGTTTCTATGTGACATGATAATTCAGCATTGCAATTGGTAATGTACTTACTTCAGCTAGAATTGCTATCTTTGTTTTTCTTAATGTCAGAGATAACCAGCAGAATCTATTTAACATACTTGGTTCGATGTACACTGCTGCAATCTTCTTGGGCATAAGTAACTGCGCATCAGTTTTGCCATACGTTGCAACAGAGAGAACTGTCATGTACCGGGAGAGGTTTGCAGGAATGTACTCCGCATGGTGTTATGCACTTGCACAGGTACCCTTTTTCTATTTGGGAATTGATTGAGCCTGTTTCCTAAGCAATTTTCATAATTTAGATTGTTGCTAGAAGGTCAAAAGATTGGCTAGCTTGAGATAATTTAAACTTGCATAACTTTGGCTACCATTGTTGAGTACGCCAAACCTGCAGTTTACGTGTTGAAATTCCTTGCAGGTGACAGTTGAGATTCCCTATCTGTTTATCCAAAGTGTTATATTCGTGATCATCACGTACCCCATGATCGGATACTATGGATCCGCTTACAAAGTTTTCTGGTACTTTTATGCCATGTTCTGCACAATGATGTATTTCAATTACCTGGGAATGTCACTTGTATCCTTGACACCAAATTTCATCTTGGCTTCGATCCTATCCTCAATCTTCTACACACTCTTTAATCTTTTCTCTGGATTTCTCATCCCTCAGCCAGTAAGCCACTGCTCCCTAGACTGTCACAAGGAATAACTAATTCCAACTAAGAAACTGATGTTTATGGTGTTGTGTGAGTGCAGCAAATTCCAGGATGGTGGATTTGGCTCTATTATCTGACTCCAACTTCCTGGACAATGAATGGAATGCTTACCTCTCAATATGGTGACATAGACAAGGAAATCATGATATTTGGAGAGAATAAAACAGTAACTTCCTTCTTAAAGGATTACTTCGGCTTTCACCATGACCGCTTGGCTATCTCAGCGCTGGTTCTCATTGCCTTTCCCCTAGCTCTGGCGTCCATTTTTGCATATTGCGTAGGAAGACTGAATTTTCAGAGGAGGTGACCATGTATGCCCCCAATTACCCAAATCTGCTTGTATCCCATACTCTTGAATCTTCCTAGTGTATTTAGTGCTTGTTTGGTTGGTTTTTTTTTTAAATTTATCTATTTTCTAAAAGTAAAATTAAGCTAAACATAAATTTTATAAAATTCTTTAAAAAAAAAAGAAGTTTTTTTTCTCTTTTTTTTAAAAAAATATAAAAAAATTTTTATTTTTATTTAAAAAAAATCTTCATTTATTAAAAATAATCATAATATTACTTTCTCAACAAAACTTATCTTTTATGATAATTTTAATCAAAATTATAAAAAAAAATTTATCAAATAATTTTAACTTAATTTTAAAAATTATTATTTTTTATAAAAACTTCATAATAACTTTTAACACTAAAAAATTTCCAGAAAAAAAAAAAGTAATTGGAGATTCATGAATACTCCATATATTGTCTACAATCTTTAAATCATAGTCCCATTTGGGAAATGTGAGGGTGGAAGAGAAAAGGAGGAAAAAACAAAGAATTTATTTACACCGATTAAGTAGCGTTCCCATCCAACTTGATATGAAAAGGACGGACAGATACCTTGCTATTATTAAATATTTATAACCATCTGCATCGAACATGTGGCTTCAATGGAAAATGACAACTTGGCATATTTATTTCTAGATTTGGAATCCACCGTCATAAATTTAGACAATTTTCATTTACTCCTTTTTTTTATTATTTTTTTATTTCAACTTAAATGTTTACTTTCCGTTTAGTACGGCAATGACTATAGCCACCATATTTGTCCCACTTTAGTATGATTTATTTTATTTTAAAGTTTAAAGGATTAGTCAAATCTCTAAAATCCCTGCTAATCTAAATTTTTCTTCCTAATCAAGAAATCAATCCTACAGAATCAAATCAAATCAAATCAAAGATTAGAGCACAAATACAGTTAGACATAGGAAGAAAATGTGTTCAATCACATCTTAATAAACAAAAAAATATTGGTGACAACTCTTCTCCATATTAAATAGTAGAAAATGTTATTGTTCAAAAAAATTTTAAACTATTCAGAAAAATTTAAATAAATCCTAATACTTTTGTTACATTTAATCAATTCTTTGTACTTTTATTTTGATCTAAATAATCTCTTATACTTTTTTTATTTGGAGTCAAATAAGCGCTTATAATAAATAATTAATTTAATTAAAATCTTATTTGTTACTTTATGTTACGTGACGTTGATGTGACATATTAAAATATCATGATTGATTTATAATGTAACATACTGATATACCATAATTGATGATGATATGAAACACTAAGCTAGCATGATAATATGATTATTTGAAAATTTTCATTATTCACATCAATGTCATATCAGTATTATTTGAATATAAAATGACAAGTAATATATTCACTTATGATAATTAATTAATTATTAGTCACAAAAATTTATTTAATTTAAAATAAAAATATAAAAATTTAATTAAATCTAACAAAAGAATAAAAAATTTATTTAAATAGTTTAAAAATTATTTAAGCATTATACTTAACATATATAAGTGTTGCATGCCAAAAAAAAAAGTTAGAATTTAATGAGCTGGCAATTTGCAGATTTAAAAAAAGACGTGATTGGTTAGTGGGTTCCGATTATGAAGAAAATGTGATTGGTTAGCTGGTGGTGATCGTACTAAAGAAATAGCACGTGGTATGCTGTAGTTAGGTCGCTACCGTCACATCTTAAATGCGTGACCTTTGATGTTGAAACTAATGTCGGCTTCACGCAATATACACTTAAAACAAGAACATCCTCTCCTTGGATACGAAACCACTCTATGCTTACAAACAAAATGGGAAATATTCTACTTTGAATCAATCCAATACTCAACACAGCCACACCGAATAATGGCACATGACTTGCGTTTTAAGATTTTGAAGCTTTATGTATGGTTTAAACTTTAAAACTTACTGACCGACTCCTATTCAATTCCTGGTGGTTATCAACGTCTTGTCAATCCCCGCTGCGTACTGACGATATATACTAACTCTGGATCAATGGAGACCAAAAAGTAGCGCTGCACATGACATAATGGCATCCATGGTCGAGTCAGAAAGAGAAAGTATTGAAGTAGAATCAGGGGATGAAGCAAAACGGGTCGCAAGGGATCCTACCAGGCTTCGACCTCATGTCTTCATAGACAAGCTCATCAGAAACATTCAAACTGATAACCTTCAGTTGTTGCACAACATCAGAACAAGACTAGACAGGTAATTCTATTTCTTTTTTTCCAAAGGCAGGTAATTGTATATACTTTTTTTCTGGTACCATATGCATATATTACTCCTAGTCCTAGCTGCTAGTAAGCTGCTGCAAACTTAGACACACCTAGCTAGTAAACTGATAATACGCATGCCTGCTGCCTACATGACCAACCGAGCCAAACTGGCTTTTGCAGAGTTGGTGTCAAGCTGCCTAGAGTGGAAGTGAGATATAAAAACCTCCGTGTGGAAGCAGAATGTGATGTAGTTCATGGGACGCCGCTACCCACACTCTGGAATTCCCTAAAAAGCCTGGTTTCAGTAAGTGTATCTATATCTATTATCTATATATCATCGATCGGGGATGTGGCATTTTCCAGACTAGATTTTCAAGATTTATGTACATATATATTGTATTTGGATGTTGTTTCGCAGTACCCTGCAGCAAGACTGATGGGTTCAAAGTCACACCAGGCAAAGCTATGCCTTCTCACTGATGTCAGTGGCGTCATAAAGCCTGGAAGGTTACGAATCTCTTCTTAAGGTTAAAACTGGTCAAATGGTTCTGGTGAAGGATACCATCCATTTGACAGTAGAACTAATGTAGCTAACGTACCATCAGCTAATTTCTGGCAGGATGACTCTACTCCTTGGTCCTCCAGGGTGTGGGAAGACCTCCCTGTTAAAGGCGCTCTCCGGAAATCTAAACCAATCGCTTAAGGTATCGCCTATGCAATAAAATTTTATTTTTGGCAACGTTTAAATGAATTCCAAATATAATGGAACATATCCATATTTTTTTTTTCTGCTAGATAAGTTGACTGTTGGTTGCCTTGGCTTCCACTAGGTCACCGGGGAAGTTTCTTATAATGGATACAAACTAGAAGAGTTTGTCCCCCAGAAAACTTCTGCATACATAAGCCAAAATGACCTGCACATTTCTGAGATGACAGTGAGGGAAACACTTGATTTCTCAGCCCATTGTCAGGGTGTAGGAAGCCGAGCAGGTACACATGTTTTCCCCAAGCTCCACCTAGCTAAGCATAACTTTTAGTTTCTTGCAAAAGTGATAGTTAAACTACTGGTTTTTAAAGACATCACGATGGAGGTCAGTAGAAGGGAGTTGGAAGCAGGAATTGCTCCTGATCCAGATGTTGATACTTACATGAAGGTGCGTATGCACATGGCGTGTTATTGCCAACATCTGTCAAATCAATGAACCGTGGTTTATTTTCACTTTTCACAGGAAACATCTGTCAAAGGACGAAAAGGAAAACTTCAAACTGACTACGTACTAAAAGTAATTATCCTTAAACAGTGCTTAATTACTCAGGCTTCTATCCTTGGGAATGCATAATCGTAACAGTGCTTCCTGCTTATAATACGTAAACTTCTACTGTTTCCTGCACTTGTTATCAGATCCTTGGACTTGACAGTTGCGCTGAAACATTTGTCGGTGACGCCCTAAGAAGAGGTATATCTGGCGGTCAGAAGAAGAGATTGACTACAGGTTGTGACTTAGCTTTAGCAAAATAATATATAGCCATTCACCAATTTCAACCAACAAAAAAAAAAAAATTTCTGCGAGTTGTGATTTAAACTTCAATCTCAAATTATGCAGGAGAGATCGTTGTGGGTCCCATAAAAACTTTGTTTATGGATGAAATAACCAATGGCCTTGACAGTTCCACTGCATTTCAGATTGTTACTTGTCTTCAGCAGCTTGTGCATATGACAGATGCTACTTTGTTGGTTTCACTGCTTCAGCCTGCACCGGAAACTTTTGATCTCTTTGATGATATTATCTTAATGGCAGAAGGGAAAATTTTGTACCATGGACCGCGCGATCACATTCTTGAGTTCTTTGAAAACTGTGGGTTTAGGTGTCCTCAGAGGAAAGCGGTCGTAGACTTCCTTCAGGAGGAAAGTGAATTAATCCAGTTTATTTCTATTACCTGCAATGCAGTCTCTTGCTTCTTCAAAATTAAAAGCATTTCGCCTTCGAACATTGCAGGTTTTATCAAAGAAAGATCAAGCACAATACTGGTACAGCACTGAGCTACCCTACTCTTATTTTCCCGTCGATATGTTCGTCGGGAAATTTAAGGCATCCCCCTTGGGGAAGAAGATAGATGAGGACCTCTTAAACCCATACGATATGTCCCAAGGCCATAAGGATGCTCTTTCCTTTAGTGAGTATTCCGCTTCTAAATGGGAAATCTTCAAAGCTTGCATGTCAAGGGAGCTTCTTCTTTTGAGAAGGAACTCAATTTTCTACGTGTTCAAAATAACTCAGGTGAGGACTCGTTCTGTGTAAATATGTAAGCTCTTTCATTTCTTTTTTCATCAATGAAGGTTCATGCTAAAACAGTTTCAAGCTTCAAGAACATGTTGATAGAACTGAAGACTGAAAGCGCTGAAACTGAAATCAGTAATTAATTAAACACGCTTAATCATTAGAATTGTCTTCTTTTGGCAGCTTGTGATCATAGCATGCATCACAATGACTGTATTTTATAAGTCACGGATGGATATTGACATTCTTCATGCAAATTACTACCTGGCGGCGCTGTTTTTCACTCTTATGATACTTGTGGTGGATGAGGTTCCTGAGGTGTTCATGACGATTTCGAGACTCCCTGTGTTTTACAAGCAGAAAATGTTATGCTTTTACCCAGCGTGGGCTTATTCAATTCCAGCCGCTATTTTGAAGCTTCCCATGTCATTTCTGCAATCCCTGATTTGGACATCTATCACTTATTATGTAACAGGATACGCTCCTGAGGTTTCAAGGTGGGTTCCATGAAAATTTTAAAATATTGTACTGGAATGAGATCAGGACTTTCTTAAAACTTCATGGTTATGTTTCTCTTGGAATGAGTAAGCAGAACAAACAAATTATGTGGTAGTCTGTCAGGAAACTGTATCCTAGCTAGCTAGGAAGGGAAAGGGAAAATATAAAAGAAAGAAATGCCTACTAATTTATCTGTTAAAAGTTGGTCGCCTTGATAGTTATCAGGAACTTGAGATAGAATCTTCTTTTTAACAATGAGAAGCGCTACTCTTGTCATGCAACCTAACCCCTTCAGAGGGGAAAAAATGGCAATACTATAGAAGGAGTATGAAGAAACAATTTTCATTTCATTCTTAAGCAAACAAGATATTAATTCTTCTGGTTGGAGAGCCTAAACGTTGATAATTTGCTTTCTTTTCAGGTTCTTCCGCCAGTTTATCATGTTTTTTGCTGTGCAGTTATCAGGAATATCTTTGTTCCGTTTCGTGGCCTCCGTCTTCCAGACTTTTGACTCTTCTGTGGCAGCTTCTAGCCTAATAATTTTTCTACACTGGTTATTCTGTGGCTTCATCATTCCGCGGCGTAGGGTTCTTCCTACCTTTTTATTCAGTTTATTGTAAAATGATTCCTGTAAAAGGATGCATACTTATTAATCTGTTTCATTGGTTGCAGCATCCTGGCCAGGTTGGATGAAGTGGCTTTTCTGGGTTTCTCCTATGTCATATGCAGAAATAGGGCTTTCTGGAAACGAATTTCTTGCCCCAAGATGGCAACAGGTGATATTCCTATTTATTGGTTTAAATGGTAGTTATTGTTCAGGTAGGTAAGCAACCTTCTTCAAAAGAATGAGGAATTCTCACAGATTTCTTGCTAATACAATAGTTGAAGCAAGCATGAAGTGCATCAGCTTGAATGACTTGTCCAAAATTTGACAGTTAAAGGTTAAGTAAATAAAGCACACAAGTTATTGGTTTCTTTAATCAGTGTACCCCTTTCCTCCCAAAAGATTTCTTCCATCAGCCACAAATAGATGGTGCTCCTGCTGTTTCTCCAAGTATATTGTTTTTTTCCAAATTTTTAAGCTAAATGATGAATCCCATCTACCTTCCATTCCTGCTGAAAACTCTTAGCAAAATTAGCATTACTTGTAAACCTGTAAACGATGCTTACTTTAACTGCTGAATGATTCAGAAAGTGTACTCTTTTCTCCATTGATTATTAATTTTGCAGATGTTAACCATGAGCACTACAACAGGGCAAGCAACACTAGAGAGCCGTGGATTATACTTTGATGAATATTTTTTCTGGATATCAATCGCCGCATTGTTTGGCTTTGCTATAGTTTACAACATCGGATTCACCTTGGCCTTAAGTTTCTTGAAGCGTAAGTTTGTCTTTTTTTTCCCCAATTTTCTTTTATTCAATATTGAGGAACTTGAAACACATGCAGCTCCTGGATCGTCTCGCATTATTATTTCCCGTGACAAGCTTTCCAAGATGCAGAATGGAAATTTTAATGGGGTTGCAAGTGTGGCGAAGGGAGTAAGCCATTCGGATTCCAGTGATAGGGAACCAGCTAGTAAAGGTTGTTTTGTTGTCTTCTTCTTCTTCTTAGTTTTTCTTCATAAAATTGTGCTTTCCTATCTCATTTTCATCATAATTTATGGTTGCTTTGTCTCCATCACAGGCAGGATGGTATTACCTTTTGAACCTTTGACATTAACATTTCAGTATGTGCAATACTATGTGGACACCCCTCTGGTAATCAGACACATTCTTCTTTGGCAATGAATCATTTTTCATGAACCATTGAACATTGAGGCACTGTTTTGTTGGTCCTAGGAAATGAGAAAAAAGGGCCATGCTCAGAAAAAGCTGCAACTCCTTTCAAATGTTACTGGAGCATTAAGGCCCGGTGTCCTAACAGCACTGATGGGTGCCAGTGGAGCAGGAAAAACTACCCTTCTGGATGTTCTTGCAGGGAGAAAAACTATAGGTTGCATAGAAGGAGAAATTAAGGTTGGTGGGTATCCTAAAGTTCAAGAAACATTTGCAAGGATATCTGGTTATTGTGAACAAAATGACATACATTCTCCACAAATCACTGTACAAGAATCTTTAATTTTTTCGGCTTGGTTGCGTCTGGCTCCTCGTATTGACTCAAAAACTAAAGCTGTAAGACTCCATTATAAGAGTGGCCGTTTTCCATCTAAAGCTAAATTTGAGATAAGTTTGTGATCATGAAGGTGCTTTGGTGGGTTTTATAGGAATTTGTTAAAGAAGTCCTTGAGACTATTGAACTGGACGATGTCAAGGATGCCTTGGTTGGCATACCTGATCTTTCAGGTTTATCGACTGAGCAGCGCAAGCGACTTACAATAGCGGTGGAGCTCGTTGCCAATCCTTCCATAATTTTCATGGACGAACCTACATCTAGCTTGGATGCACGAGCAGCAGCCATTGTCATGCGTGCAGTGAAGAATGTAGCTGATACAGGTCGAACAATTATTTGCACAATCCACCAACCAAGCATTGATATATTTGAAGCATTTGATGAGGTAATAATATAACTGATATCGTGAGAAGATGTCCATTTTACAAGAATGAGTGTTTTTCCTTTTATATACTATTCTAGTTTTTCTTTCATAACAATACCTGTTGCTTTCATTGCAGTTGATTCTTCTGAAAAATAGAGGGAGTTTGATCTACTTTGGTCCATTAGGACAACATTCTTGTAGAGTTATCAAGTATTTTGAGGTTAGTTCAAACTGTATTAATTGCTTCGAGCAAACAGGTCTTGATCGACCTTGATCTTCCATTCTCTGTATTCTAACTGACAGAGTATTCCCGGGATGCCCAAGATCAAAGACAATTGTAATCCAGCAACATGGATGCTAGAGGTTACCTCCCCACCAGTGGAGGCTGAACTGGGAGTAGATTTTGCACAAATTTACAAGAATTCTACTTTGTATGAGTAAGTTCAATTACTCAGTAGTATATTAATTGTGATTTCTACAAAGTTAAATAATTTATTAGTGCCTCAAATGCATTTCTCTCATATTCATCACCAATGACAACCTGAGGAAGACATAAACCAGTAATATCTGTCTGAAAAGCGTATGGCAAGACCATTTTCTTTTTCAAATAGTTCAAATCCCTCCATTGTTGCAGAAATTCATACCTGAAGCATTATTTTCAACTACTTGCAGACCTCCTGGTATTAGATTGACTGTATTGTAGCATCTTGGCAGGATGCTGCCTTAGCTCAAGTGTTTCTAGAATGAAATAATTGTCTTTACAAACTGGCGGATTGACTTATATATTTCATTTCTTCCTTTTCTCTCTTTTTGTTGGTAGGAACAATGAAGACCTTGTAAGGCAGTTGAGCAATCCACCTCCTGGTTCAAGAGATCTTCATTTTCGAACCCAATTTTCACAAAGTTGCTGGGGCCAGTTTACATCTTGCCTATGGAAACTAAACTTGTCCTATTGGAGAAGCCCCGCATATAACTTGACACGTTTCCTGCAGACTGTTATAATATCTCTGGCTTTGGGATTAATATTTTGGAACCAAGGAAAGAAAATGTAAGAATGGGGGCAAACCGGCATAGGAATCATCCATTTCATGGATACTTATACATAGGCATCACTTTTCCTCAGCAGTTAAATCTGCAGATAACTAACTTCAATTTTTCTATCTTATTTTCCATTTTAAATCCCCAGAAAAAACCAGCAGAATTTGTTCAATATTTTTGGTTCAATGTATTCTGCTGTGGTCTTTCTGGGGATGAATAGCAGCTCATCTGTCCAACCGTTTGTTGCCACAGAGAGAGTTGTTATGTATAGAGAAAGATTTGCAGGGATGTACTCTTCCTGGGCTTATGCACTTGCACAGGTACATTCCTGCTGCCAACTGACCACCCTAAGTTTACACCATAAGTTGTACTATGAACTCATTTTGGTTGAGTAGCTTGTCTTCGGAATTTCTTGACAGACCTTAAATTATTTTGCAGGTGACAATTGAGGTACCCTATCTATTCATCCAAGCTCTTGTGTTTGAGATGATCACATACTCCATGATTGGCTACTATGGATCAGCATACAAGGTTTTGTGGTACTTCTATGCCATGTTCTGCACACAGCTCTACTTCAACTTTTTTGGAATGTTGTTTGTCTCATTGACACCAGATGTCACAATTGCTGGAGCTTTATCCTCTGTCTTCTACCCGATGCTCAATCTTTTCTCTGGCTTTCTGATTCCTCCTCTGGTAAGTCATTTTTATCCCCTCAAGTCTCATAGAAAGGCCAGTAAAGTACTTGACAGTAATTACTATGAGATATTAACTTGGCTGGCTATCTGGTCTTTCCACTGCAGAAAATCCCGAAGTGGTGGATCTGGTTGTATTACCTAATGCCTACATCTTGGACATTGAATTGTTTGCTCACTTCACAATATGGAGATGTGAATGATGAAATCATGGTATTTGGTGAAGCCAAGACAGTTGCTTCCTTGCTAGAAGATTATTTTGGGTTTCACCATGACCGCCTAGCAATTACAGCAATATTTCTGATCCTTTTTCCCCTTATTTTTGCATTTCTTTTTGCATTCTTCATTACACGTTTAAATTTTGAGCGAAGGTGAATTTCTCCTTCTAGCTCAGTGACAAACTTTCCTTGCTTCTGTTTCTCTCACTTTCTAGCAGAGTTCGCAAAGAGAACAAGATTGTATCTATTACCAAAATGAAACTTCATTCAAATGTCACGACCCTTCCATTAATCTAACTTGGGAGCAGAAGACGCAAATGGAATCAATAATCAAATTTCATTTGTCTCAACAAGCATATGCATTCAATACATAAAAAAACAGCTCTGCAGCAGATCATCTCTTGCATTCTATCCTTATGTTATCAGCAAATCAGGTATACAGGCAACCAGGCTGCTCCTCTCCACAAATTTTCATCGACTCAGACTTGGGAGTGCTTGTATATATTCTATTGTATATGGAAAAATGGTATAAAAATAATAATGAGTAAAACGGAACTCAAAGAAGGACAATTTCGGAGAAACACAGACGACCAACAAGACATCACTTAGAGAGCAGCTGCCAAGAATAAACGCATTATTGATTTAACAAATCAAGAAAAGTTTAGTCTTGAGGTTTCTCCCACTTAAGGGGCTTCACTACCTCCCATGTGAAGTCAGGATCATCTCTTCCAAAGTGTCCATATGCAGCAGTCTTCAGGAACCTGCCATTGCCACCTCTCTGGAGATCCAAATTAATGGATATCATACCGGGCCTGAAATCAAAGTTTTCCTTCACAATCTTCAGAATTTCCTTGTCTGAGATCTTTCCAGTCCCATATGTGTCAACGAACACAGACAAAGGTTCAGGCACACCAATTGCATATGAGACCTGGACTATACACCTGCGAGCAAGACCATTCGCAACAATGCTCTTGGCGGCCTGCCTAACAATGTAGGCACCACTTCTGTCTACCTTAGTAGGGTCCTTGCCAGAGAAGGCACCACCACCATGAGCTCCCCAACCACCATAGGTGTCTATGATGATTTTGCGGCCAGTAAGACCTGCATCACCATGAGGACCACCTATGACAAAACGCCCTGATGGGTTGAGATGGAAGATGGTCTTCTCGTCAAGGTACTTGTCGGGGATGACTGGCTTGATAACATGCTCTTTGAGGTCTGCAGCAATCTCATCATTAGTGACAGTTTCATCATGCTGTGTGGAAATGAGAACAGTGTGGACACGAATTGGAACCATGGCACCATTGTCATTCTGATACTCAACAGTGACTTGAGTTTTGCCATCAGGCCTCAACCATGGGCAAATTCCATTTTTGCGAACTTCAGTGAGGCGGGCGCCAAGCTTGGTAGCAAGGACATGGCTAAGAGGCATTAACTCAGGGGTCTCATCGGTGGCATATCCAAACATGTGACCCTGATCACCAGCACCAATCTCCTCAGGGCGCTTGGTAAGATGACCATGAACACCCTGAGCAATATCAGGGCTCTGCTGCTCGATGTTAACTAAGACTTTGCACTTATCAGCATCAAGACCCACATCATCGGAGACAAATCCAATGTTACGGCAAGTATCACGCACAATCTTCTCATAGTCTACCTTAGCTTTGGTAGTGATCTCCCCAAAAACCATGACCATATTGGTCTTGGTGCAAGTCTCGCAGGCAACTTTGCTTTCAGGGTCCTGTTCGAGGCAGGCATCAAGCACTGCATCAGAAACCTGATCGCACAGCTTGTCAGGGTGACCCTCATTCACTGACTCAGAAGTAAATAGGAAGGTGTCCATATCTCTAAATCTGTTGAGCACAAAATATTGAAACAAAAAGGCTTAAGATGAATCTAAAAATAAATAAATAAAAAGGAAGACAAAACATACAAACCATACATTCAAATATTTAGGCCTATATTCTGAATTGTAATTCACGAGAAAAACTAGCATAAAGTCAACTGTCAAACTCCCAGAATTTCACATTAAATCAGGCAGAAAGATGATATTAGCCCCTAGAGTGAGATTGTATCACGACGAGTTAGAGTTCTCATTATGAAAACGTCAGGATCCAGATGCTACTCCAAAACAGACCCAACCCCAGAATAATTCCATATATCAAAACGCAAAAAGTTCATCACTTTAAAAAGAAAAGGGATAAAAAAAGATTGAATTTTGAAAATAGCCAGAAAAAGAAATGAAGATGAGTTAAATCTAATAATACTGACCTTAAAAAGTGTTGGGCTCTCTTAAGGTTGTGATTACTCAACACAGGCACAGACAGGCTACGTTTGAGTCTTGTATTTATAGACAAAAGAAAACTATACTGGCATTCTTCCTCTTCTAAGTGGGGTCCAGTTGTTTCGAAGTGTGAGATGGTGGCTGTTGGATGGCACTGGATCAACGGGTGGGATTCATTGGAGTCGGTGGCCGAGAACGACAGAGCTCCTCAACTCAACTCCATGGGTCACCGGGAGAGCCCGTTGCATGTGCTTTTCACCAACCCCACCCCTGCTTTGGACAGGTAAAATGGCTCAGCTTTTGCCAATTGCCACCCAAATTCCCATATCCATGCACTGCAACTGCAAGCGTGCAACAGAACAGAGCAAGTCTAGTCTAGTCTATTCATACGAAAAAGTGTTTTCTTCTCTTTCTTGGGTTCTTCTCTCTTCTGATTGAGAGACAAGAAATCATCCATACGTGGTGAAAACTGGTACCTGTAATGGAACCTTTTACTAGGTAGTACGAATCTATAAACAACAAAAGCAAAGCAAAAGACCAAAGCACTGTTGGGTTGGTTCAGAATTGACGGTCCTTCTTCTGAGACAAGTTGCCATTAGAGTCTGCGGCCTACACTGCAGAGAACGAACTCAGCGGCTGCAGTTCGTGGGCAGGGACCCACGAACTGACACGAGGCAGTCGAACGCGGTAGGTGACGTGGTTGGTGCAAAGGTTAGTGACAGTGACAAGTTAGCTGATGTGGCATCCTGCACTGCACAAAAATCAACAAGAGCAGGATCCCGCGGACACCTAACCCCCTTGAATTTGCATGAAAATGTCTGGTTGGCTCCTTTTGATCAAGTGCAACCACTTAATTTCTACCAATTTGAATGCTTGAATTCAAGCATGATGTCATGAAGATGTCTACTTCTGCTCTATTCTTAAATCATACCCTGGAACTTTGTCTTACTTTTGTTTGCCATGTTTTGGAACAAAATAACATCCGGGTCTCATTTTTTATTTAATCAATACGATTTATTTCCCCATACGCATTCATAACTCTGTTCAAATAATCCAAATACTGTAACTCGGCGATTTAAGAGGCAGACAAAGTCGAAAAGGGCAAATTTTTGTAACATCTCCCCAACTTTCATCAACTTGATACAAAATTGTGTTGGATTTTGTGGAACAAAATGAGGGCATGCACACCTACCAAGCCATCACCACAATTCCATTAACATCTTGAAGAAAAGCTGCTGGGGAGGCAATGATCACAAACGAGCAAGCTTCTACTGACTGTATCATTTTCCTTGGTTCATTGCCATGAGTCTCCGCCCTCCACCATTTCGCCATACACCACAAACCGGCAATCCTTCAGGTGGTTCCCTATTTTCATCAGCTTTTTCCTCAATCTGATCAGGACCAGGATCAGAATCTCCAACATCTGGACGTTGTGCAGCTGAAGCATCACCAAGGCGGTTTCTAAGGAACTTGGAGGCCTTTTTCCCTGGCTTATTTCCCCCTCCTCCAGATGGCAGATTTTTATTCGAGCTACCACCAGCTGGCTGAGAACCATTGTTACTCCCCAGCTGCGTTTGAGAATAACTGGGGAAATGTGAGTTAGCCTCTTCATCAGCGAAAACCTTAAATTTGCCTTTGGCAGCATGACGTCCATCGTTCCGCAAGACTTCTGCTTCTTCCACATAAGGCTTCTGGTTTAATAGCAAAACTTTCGCCCCATCATAAGCACCATTTGCCAAAGCATGTTTTAGACCACTAATGCCAACTTCTCCACACTTTTCTTTTCCTTTCTTTGACGTTTTTATGTTTTTTGATTGACCACCATCATTGCTTGGACCAGTTTTGTGGGAACGGCTTCTTCTCATGTTAAAATTGTATGCCTCCTCAAGTTCTCTCTGTTTCTGAACATTGGGGCACAGCCCAGCTATCTCAAGAACAAGATGTGACAAACCAAACTGATGCACGTAGGCAAGATACTCCTCAGCGTTAATAATACCCTGGCGATATTCAGCAGTTATTCCTTTGAATGCAGAGTATTTGTCCTTATCAAATTCGAAAGAAGCACGGATCTTTTCCACTAAAGCCTTGTTAGCAGATTGAGCATCTTCCACTTTAGGTGAAGGCTGGCTACTCGTGGGTGCATTCTTAGGAGCATTAGCAGAAGAAACTGAAGGAAAATTAGAAAGGGAGTTAACAAAAAAGCCTCTGTCTACAATATTTGGAGGCTCAGCGGCAGAGTGGCTCACCTTTCTGGTGCCAACCGAACTCCTGGACAAGCTAGAAAAATTAGCTGTAAGTCCCAAAAAAGTCCCCTGTGCAGAGCTTACATGACCAGATGGCAAAGATTCCTTAATCCTAGAGTGCTTACTTTTGGAAGAACTAGATGAATTCCTTGATAAACGTGAGAAATTTATCGCAGGCCTGGACTGGTGAGAACCAGTAGCTGACATCTTAGGTTGAAGACTTGCCGCAGGCCAAGCCTGAGCAGTATTAGGAACAGTTAAAGTCCCATTGTTTCGGCGACGTAAGCAAGCAGCCATGCTGCTTCTAGCTGATCCTTCTGAACCATTTCTAAGTTTTTGTTGACTACTATTTGATGCTGCAGTAAGGGGAGGAAAGGATGAATCGTCAAGAGGTCCATTCCTAGAGTTTCCTAATGCTTGGCAACATCTTGAAGATGGCTCAGAGTCCAATGTAGCTAATGCCTCAAAAGGGCCAACAATAGAGGCAATTCCATTAGTCTCTTGGTTATTGACAACCACTTCGCCACTTGTCGAAGTATAATGAAAACTTTCAGCATTCGCTGTCGCTAGACTAGCTTGCATTGCCAATGACAGTTGACTATCGAATAAATCAGACTGTGAACCATGTCTCCTTACACGATGATCTTGTTCATAACTCCGCCGGTACTGGAAGCTGATTGGTATCTGGATATAATGGAAAAAGAAAGTAGTAGAAATCTACAATATCCTATTGATATAGAGTGGAAGATTAGAAGTGAGCAAAAAAATTTCAAAACAGAACATTGCAATTAACGCATCAGACCAACATAATGTGTAAAATAAAAGGATTAACATCAATGAGAATTCAAACTATCCAAACCCACCTGTAGTGCAGCATTACGCTTTGACCGAGACATGCGCCCACCATGTTCAACAGCATTGTGCCTCTACAGAAATTTTTCTTTGTTCTTTTAAAAAAATGCATTGTAATTAAAACAAGAGGAACATGTACACAAATATAACAATTGTGCCACACTGTCACCTTCAGTTCAGATTCAGATGCAAACACAATAAATTTTTTGGCAAGACAAGCCTCATCCTCACATAAATGATGCTCTTGACGAAAATGGATCTGCAGCAGAATTTCTGATGCTATGGAGAATCATAAAATAAAAACTAGAACAAGAAAGGTAAACAAAAAATAACTACTAACCTCCATGTCATCATAATTTCTATAGTATTCATATTGTCCTGGATGCCGCCTGCATTGAGCCACAAAAATTAGATGTATGGAAGAATTAGAAAACCTACATCGCAGCCTCTGAACTATTATTATATCCCACTAGTTTGACTTACCTTTGGCATATGTGGCAAGTATAATGTTCAGTAGACATATGCAAATAGAGTTCATTCTCCCCATAGAATGGATTTTGACAGAATTCACACATAGGATGTCCCATAAATCCTCCCCTTTCACTTTCACTGCCATCAACCTCTGAGTCACCTGTCTCTATATGCTGAGCTAGTTGTGCTCTTGTATATAACTTTTGCTCACACATAAAGACCTGGCTCAAAAATTGAAGATAACGTCAATTACATCATTGTGCAATCATCACTGTTCATGTCCCTTTAAAGATACGAGAATCCTAGCAAACAGGGGATGTATATAATGAAATTTCCAACAAGGGGGTAAATGAGAAGATGAAAAACAAAGATCAACAATAACAAAAAATGGAGAACTTTAGAGATCAAACTCAATTATTGCTCCTCCCACAGAATATTTCTAGCAGGTTATCAATTAGAATTCAAGAGGTAATGTTGAATCTGAAAGCCACCTGAAGATAATCTTCTAGCATAGTTTCCAATTCCTGTCGTAAGAAACACATCCATTTTATTTCATCACTCAATATGTCACACAATTGCATCTCACCTTCCTACCTTCCAAACACAGACTGCACATAAGCAGCCTATGCCGGTTGAGCAAGTGACTCTTAAGCTGCTCCATGTTCTTGAGCTCTGCTCTCCTCTTAGACCCACCATTCCACTGTTCATCCTTCTTATCGCAAACAGTACAGGATAGCCTGCACATGGCTTTTATCATCTTGTAGTGATCCAGATCATCAATGTATGCTTGTGTTCCTTCATGATACCAGTAAGGCCCAACTTGGCCCTCAATTGGATCAGCTGCAAAAGCTGAGAGGTCATTTATCACCTTCGTATAATCTCCCATAGCCTGGAAAATCATTAAAAATACACTTAAACAAATATTATTTCCATAATTCAACATGCAGCGTAAATATAGTTCTGTGATGGAACAAAGCAGAAAACTGAGAAAAGAAGCCAATTATGGGCAGCAGCACCAGAAAATTCACAATTGTTTCCAAGAAAGATGAGGTGTTTCCTCCAAACAGATCTTTTAGATGGTCAAACTAACCAGTAAACCAAAAATAATCACTATTATCAGATATGAGTCTCAAGAACCGAAAAGAATGACTAACTTTGGTTATAAAGATGGTTTTCCATTCAGACTTGCAAAGGCAGCATCGGCAATCATCGCAGATGAAGCGTAGACGAATGATACAAGTGGAGCAGACTTCCCGATGGCCACATGGCCCATATGCAACCCACTCAAGTGTGTCAGCACAGACAGCACAGCTATCATCCATTTTCTCTCTGAATCTGACCAAACAAAAGAAATGTGAAAAACCTGCCAACAAAACAAATTTGTGCTCAGCGTATTAGCAATTTATGCTACATTGTATAACGGAAAATTTCGTGTTAAAGGGTGGATCCATTTCTAATTCAATCACTCACAATGTCCCCCTTTAGTGGAGCCATGAGTTACTAATCACCTTTCTCATGACGAAATCATGTTATCATGTTGTGATCACCATCAGAGCATCATCAAGGTAGCAAAGACCAATCTTTTTCTCTTCCCATCTCACAATCACTTGCAAGCAAAAAAGGCAAGTACCATATGCAAGGGTTCAATTTCAAATCTATTTGGCTCTATATTTAGTTTGAAACTTCACACTATCGTACGGATTTGCAACATGACTTTAGCACTCACAACACAACATAAAGCTAAAAACCCTAACTTGTATGAAACAGCAACACATGCTTCAACAAACAAGAACAGTATCAGACCACTTTCAATAAGACTTTAATCTTCAAACTTTAAGCTGAAACTATATTTTGATTCAATTTTTTTAAAAAATTTAGACTTTAATTCACATAAGGAGGCAATGCAAGTAAAATTCCATCCAAATTGAGCTCAAAATATAACAAAAGAAAAAAGAATCAGTGAAAAGCTCATAAATCTATTAATATAAGCTAAATTGCAATAATAAGAACTGTCTGATCACTCCCTCCACAGTCTACTCACAGAATCATCAAAAAATAAAAATGAAAAAAAAAAGAATACAAATCAAAATTCATAATCTTTGCAATAAATCAATGACGTCTTAATTAAACAGAAAAGAGGAAGATAGATTAGATATAAGAAGAACAGATCCCCGATGAATCAGAATTCTAAAGAGAGGGAAAACGAAAAATGCAATTAAAAAATTCATGGCGAAGGGAGGAGACAGCGTTTTCTTACCTTTCTATTATCTGTTTCTGAAAATTTTCTCGCACGAATGATCGAAAAGTGTTGAGTTTTTATTTTCTCACGAACCAAACAGAAAAGGAAACCAAGGGCCTGTCTTCGTAAATGTTAACCATAAACCGGGTTTTGGTCAAAATTAAAACCATTTATCTAATCAAGGTCACTGCTCATTTACTGCAGTAGAAAACAATGCACCCGTATTTAATATTTTTATTTTTATATTAAAAAATATTAATTATTCATTAGTTTAATGTTCAAAAAGACTTTAAATTATTTTTAAAATATTAAATTAATTTTTTATTATATTCAATTAATTTTTTATTTTAAATTAAATAAATTTTTATAATTAATAATTAATTAATTATCAATAATCAAAATATTCATTATCATTTTATATCTTTAAAGTATAATTATGACATATTAAAATATTACAATACTATCATATTATTATTATATAATATAAAATAATAAATAATATTTTAATTAAATTAATTATTAATTATAAAATTTTATTAATTTAAAATAAAAATATATAAACATAAATGAACATAATAAAAATATAAATATTTATTTTAAAATTTTTTAAATATTATGTAATATTTATATTATAAAAATTAAATTTTATCTTAATTTTTATCCAAAAAAATAAAGTCCACAAGGACAAAAGCCTAATCAAGCAAGGGAGGATTAGTAACAGAGTCCTAGAAACAAGGATCTCCCTTGGCCCTTGACCTTGTTCTGTCTGAACAGCCTCTTTATAAGCGAAACCCAGGTTCACTAATTGCCCGGACAGTAGAAGTAGGCCATCATGTTGGGTGGTGGGCTCCAATCCAAACCATCTGCTCAAAATCCAAAGGTTGCGAATGCAAGACGTAGGCAATTCACTCTCCCCGATTCCCTCTCCAACAGGGCAGCCATGGCTGAAATCTTTAGCAATATTCTAGCTGACAAAGGCAAAACGAAAGGGTTATGATTGGTTGGTTGCTTCAATCTTCAATCCCTGCTTGTGATTTCTGTGGGAAAAGGGCATGTCCCAAGTGAGAGAGAAATGGGGTTCCACCGATGAAACTCTAGTTCTAGTTTTAGATTCCTCAGGTGATTAAACTAGACTTTTTGGTTGCTGAAAGCCCGAAAGTTTCAATGAGCATTAACTGCTTGTTGGACCTTGAATTACAATATTCAGAAACCTCTACTTACAGTCACAGGTAACAGGATGATTTTTGGAAACATAGAAAAAGTGTCTGTGGGAACTTTGTTTCAATGGTTTCATCTTTGCAATTGAATGATTCCTTCCTATTAAAACCTTCGTTTTTCTGCTATTGCGAAAGTTTCCGGGAGAGATCAGAGGCGGGGGTGGAAAGTTTGAACAGGCCATGCATCAGAAATTATATTAAGCAAGTAGATGGACTTATTTACATAGTAATAATGGATTCAAAATCTGAACCTGGAACCTTAATGTTCTGATAAAGCCAATAGTCAAGCGTGAAGGATGGCCATTAGCATTCACCGAAACATGGAAGGTGCTACTATTAGACACACACATTGTTCTACAGACACCAATCCTACACACGCACACTGGAAAACACCAAAACATAACAACAGCTTGAAATGTAAACCTCCAAAACTCCATAACTGAAACTGACTCAAAGTCAAAGCCCTAAAAAACTTGAAATAACAGCACCGAGCGGCTATCATGGTGGTGTGCCGGTGCCTGTGCCGGTGCCGGTGCCGGTGCCAGTGCCAGTGCCAGTGCCGGTGGTGCCACCAGGGATAGTAGGCTGGACACGAACACATCCGGTCCCAGGGAAGGCACAAAACACTGATGGCCCGAGACCAAAGCCAACACCTCCGCCAGGGGTCGGAACGAACCCACCACTTGTACCAAAGCCTCCAAGGAAGTTCTGAGGGTGGTCAACTTCTTCTTCCTTGAGCCTTCTTCCTTCGGCATTTGAGGCGAGGACCACCAGAACAAGGATAGAGATCAACAGCATCTTTGCAACTCTCTCCATTATGAGACCGTTCTCAACACCTTAGCAACCGCAGCTCTCTCACTCACTGCTTGTAATTGGTTAGGATGGGAGAAACCTGGCCATCCCTGGCCATCTTTATATAGTACCCAAGTTTCAGTTGAAGTACTAATGCATGCCTACCATTTCTTACTCCGCATAAAGAGGGTAGTTTTTCATTGGAAATTACGTTGTGGTAACTAAATGATACAGCTAATTAAGGCATTTAAGTCAATGCTGCTATTTTGCACCCAAGGTTCAATTGGAACTGAAACGAATTAAATAAGCCCACACGACCCAACAGTAAATCCTATCAACCAGCATCTTTTTCCTGCTGGAAGATTGTTCTAGCTACTGCTAATTCTAAAAGGTTTAAAAGCTTACAATATCCACTGTGTATCAAAGATGCCACTAGTCTTATGCTGCCAAGTGGTTCAATTCGACAATAAAAGGGCAGTGAGGCAGTCCAAGTTAGAAATGTTTGCTACCATCTGATAGAATTGGAGTAGGCTAATGCTTGGGGCATAGCTGTCTTTTTAACCCATCGAGTCCCTTAATTTGTTCTGATCATGATCACCAATTCACCACCCTGGATAGCATTTAAGGTGGATTTATGGTCCTGTTGTTGAATTTATTATGTCCTCACCTAACAAGACATTACTAGGCCTGCTAAGCCTTAAAATCTTTGAACACTGTCATATGTTTCTTTTCTGTAAAGGCATTTCCTGTTTATTGCGTCCTCTCTTGCTTTGTGATCCTTTTTCCTCTAACAGACTTGAGCATGAGCTAGTTCTTGGAAGTGTATATTCATTATTTTCTGCATATATATATATATATATATATATATAACACTCAAAGAGGTCACGAAAGTTTCAGAAATGCATTTTACTCTTAAGAAGGTTGATCTGTAGTTCATCAATAGAGTGGTTGATGTCAGTTACTGTATAATTTCTGTGGTAATATAACCCAACTTCACTTTTGAATATTTAGCTAAAGTATTGAAAGTCTACTAGTTAAATTTCTGGTACAGGGCCTGATCTTCCAGCCTGTACAAATTGTCAAATAGCCACACCTAACTTAGTTTTTAACTTTATACTACGTTGCAAGGCTGCTGCTATTTTTGTTTTCTCAGCCAGTGAAGTGTTTTCATTGATTAGCTGCTTAAAGCAGTAAGAGTATAGTAATCCCTCTGGGATACAACCAGGGTGCAACTAGAGTGCGTGTAGGCAATACCAGTAAAACAAAGACAAATAAATGGTACGAAGCAAACCACTATTCTAGGCTAAGCATTACAATATCAGAAACATGTGAAGTAAAGACATGCATAAAGAAGTATAAATTGCTAACAAAAGCTACCACCATGCTTTAAACAGAGACTCCCAATCAATTCCATGTTTAACAAGCTTGTTCCCAAACGAGTGTTTAGGCACTATTTGGCGTTTGTACACCTCTTGTACACCTCCGGCTGATCTTCACTGCTTTGCAGTATATTAATAAAATCTCACATTTTGTCTAAAAACGAGTTCCCCTCACACAAGAGTATGTTGGAATACCACTCTTCCGAGGGCCACCCTAAGCATGTCTATCTCATTAAGAATATGTCAGATATTCCAGGGTCTATGGTTCACCTTCTCCACCCAAGTAAGTGCCACAATAGAATCAATGGCCACAACAAGCTGGTGATTACCTGCATAGGCCGAAGTAGCGTACATTCAACAGAGCCTGTTTGATGGCTATTATCTCTGCCTATTTAGAGTCCTGTATGCCTAGAGGACCAAAAATTATACCTGTCACATATTCCTCTGAGTTTCGAAGAACACCCTCGCAGCTCGCAGGTCCTGGTTACTTTTGGCCGAGCCATCAACATTGACTTTGAACTCACCATTTTTTGGAGGGTGCCAGTTGATATTAACACGCCTATGCAGAGGAGCACGTTTCATGTTCACGTTCCAAGGCTCCGACCACCAACCATATTCATTCAGTAAGTCCATTCCATCACAAGCCCGAGTCCAAAGCTGCTGCTATTAGCATGAAATTTTCTCTTCTGCTTCTCTTTTTTCTTTTTTGTTTTTTCTCCGCATCTGCATGCCGGGTTGGTTCTGGTAGGTCTACTAATTTGCCAAACTTTTGCACACCTTTTGGAGACTTGAGACGGCCTTTATGTGGTAAGAGAAAACCATTCCTCGAAACAGGCTCGAATGATTGTGATCAACCTATCAGTTTCTAATTTCTTTTGACTTTACACAATCAATCAGAGTATCAAACTGTTGAACTTGACAAACCATTAGTTTATTCCATTTCTTCTATGCATGACAGAATTTCCACATCAAAGACTTACAAATTTACACTTTGAAAGAATAAAGAAGACTTTCAAACAGTTTTACACTTGACAGAATGAAACATGTAATCCTGAAAAGATTCAAAAAAGAAAAAAAAAAACTGCAATAATTTAGACAACTCCAGAGCCACTCCACCTTAATAAGCCACACAGACAATTTTAATTTAGTTCACAACCCTGCAATTCTTCCTGATCTCACCCTTTGACCCTGTGAGCACATCAATATAGCCCATCTTCACCATTGCTGCAGCAAACTTCTTGGCCCACGCTTTTCCATGCCTAGCATTCTCCCTTACTATTTTTGCCGTTGCACGACTGCTTAGAAGAGTTTGATCAGATGTTAACAAGCCATGGCGGTTCTTCAAAACTTCATAGTACTTGTTGTCTAGCCTGTGGGGTGAAAGAACATCGAGTGGCACGGTAGGGTCACGGCTGGATCCAGGTGCGGGGCACCTCTTCCTCAGTTGCCTAGCGAATTCAGGATCCAAGGAAGGGTCTTGTAGGTGAGTTGCGTTGAAAGAGTATAAACGATTAGAGAAAGAAGAACAGTGTGAGACGCCAATGGAATGTGCCCCAGAAAGTGTGACCATTTCATCAAGGTTAAGGCCCTTTCGAGCAAAGTTATCTTCAAGTTGCTTGGCGTTGAAGATAGGTGGGGGGAGGTTCCCGAAGCCCTCATCTCGCAGTGAAACTCTTCCAT